ATAAAATGGTCAATTGAAATATTTTACAGTACTACTGTTTCTACTTAATGCTGCCCTGGTGAGCTGAAGAGATTTTCTTTCAAAAACATTTAAAAAATCGTACCGCCCCCAAACTTTTGAATGGTATAATAAAATAAAATAATCTTCTTTTCTTTTTATCTTGTATCTAAAGTTGTAAGATGACACAGTTTGAAACAGCACGAGTGAAATGTTCTCGAATGTGGTGTAAAGACAGAAAGTAAAAGACTACATAAAACAATTCAATATAAAAACAATGGCAAATAGCATCAGATACTCTAATAATTCAAATGAAAATAAATCACTTTTCTAATGTCGGTGCCACCTAATGACATAAAGAATGTATCTTACGTACTATATATTTATAAGGTGATGTTTGCATAAAATGTGTCTAATCTTTTCAAATAAAAGAGCACATGATGTTTTATGTGTGTTTTATTGTTAAATCATGTTTAAGTATATGACATCTACACTAGAAGAACCTTTTTGTCTAAATGGTACCATAAAGAACCTTTAACATCTGAAGAACCTTTCTGTTTCACAAAAGGTTCTTTGTGGTGAAATAAGGTTCTTCAGATTATAAAAAGGTAAGAAAGAGATGCTTCTTTAAAGAACCTATGACTGAATGGTTCTTTGTGGAACTAAAAATGGTTCTTCTATGGCATCGCTTGAAGAACCTTTTGAAGCACCTTTATTTTTAAGAGTGTAATGCATAACAATTTTCATCATTTTTTAACATAATAAGCAAAGAAGAGAATGTGTACGAATGAGTTGTGTGTATGTGCCCTTAAAAGGTTTCACACACTGTGTGGTTTGAGGAGCAGTAGGTACAGTCACACTGTAAGGCCTGAGGGTAATAATAGATTGGGGAGACACCAGGGCGACAACCTGGTAAACGTGCTGTCAGGTGCCGTGTACGGCTGTAGGTACAGACACGGTGGTGCCTCTGGATATATGGCGGCTCCGGAACTGGCCTCTGTGATATGAAACATGCAAGAACACATATGTCACACAGAACTAAATACACAAACGTATACACCACGTGTTCTCATTTTTTTTTAAACAGTTCTATAAATAAGTTTAATATAGCAGGTTTTGGTCACCTCCCAGGTGTGGCAGCAGGCCCAGCATGCCTCAGTGTTTATTCGCAGGCTCCTGCATCCTGGCTTCTTTGCCACAAAAGCAAAATCTTTAGCGCACAGCCACGAAAACACTGTAAGGTCGTCACAGCAATGGTGGAGTAAAACCCAGGAAACAGGAGCAGAAAATTCACAGCGGTCACTAAGAAGTGGTCAGGGTACATTCTGAAAGAAATTATGAATAACAATAATGTATTTCATGAATTATCATAAAAAACATAATCTGATGAGTTTGCAGTTAAAAAGTAGTTTTTTTCTTAATCTTAATTAATATATGAATTAATTGAGAATCTCTGACGGACATGATTATCAAGGATTAATTGCCTTTTTCTGGCTACCATTTTCCCTCACACACACACACACACACACACGTCTAGTCAGCTATTCTTGTGGGGACTCTCCATAGGCGTAATGGTTTTTCTACCGTACAGACCGTATATTCTATTGCCCTACACCAACCCTACCCCTAAACCTACCGCTCACAGGAAACTTTCTGCCTTTTTAGATTTTCAAAAAAAACTTAATTCTGTATGATTTATAAGCTTTTGTACCTGTGGGGACCGCAATTTAGGTCCCCACCGTGACACGAGTCCCCATGAGTCTGTTTGTAGTCAGGTTTAAGTCCCTACCAGGATATATAAACCAGTACACACACACATATATATATATATATGTATATATATGTACATATATTTATATATATATATAAATAAAAGAAGAAAACATTCTACCAAATATTGAGTACCGGTGTTCTTGCAATTGGCCTCTGATTGCATTTACATACGTGACCAGCAGACGTCGCCAGCGTCCGGTTTACCAGGGGTTTTGATCCCAATTTCTACACACCGCTCTCGTTAAATATACAAATCATAAACAAGACGGTCGTAATTGTCATATTTTTTCGAGCGGAAAATTATGTTCCAACTTATTTTAATTGTCACGCAAATTTCATTACATAACGCACATTAGGCTACATACAGGTAATGAATACGCAAACTTATATATGGGCTAACGATAACTTTTGTGTAACTATCAGGCAGGTATTAGGGAGAGGGGAAAAATCCAAGAATGCTTTCATTTTTTAGTTGGTTTCATTTAATGTAACAATATTTGTAAATGTACAGTTTTATAATGTCAGACAGAACAGCCTTATTCTTATAGACATTTTAAATATTACCCTGTATGTATAAAATATGGTCGTTCTTTCTGAAGGGCATCAGAGGAGCAAACTGCAACAGCTTTGGTCATGTGACTCTTTACGCCAGCCATGATAAAATGTTAACTTGAAATCAAGATCTACACTTCCATTGACAAGACTGTTTACCGCGATAAATGACACTGAGGCGAAATCTGAAAACACAAAACAGCAATAAAACAAGAAACTGGAGGAGATTAACTCACCTGTTTGACTCCACAAGTAGATGCCAGAAGCTTTTAGGAAGAAAATTAGCAAACCATGTCGTTTCACCGAATGCCTTGCTGTTTAAAAGCTGTTGCTGTTTTAATAGGACAATCTGATATCACTCTAATTAGCATTAATCTAGACCGGAACATTACAACACACTATATGCAAACTTAACCAAACACGTTTTTAACATCTGCTCGTGTTTTAGGAATGAACTGAATGACTTCGGCTTCATGTCAATGATGTGATTGTGAACAACGTTTTCAGCCTGACTAAAACTAAATGGTCAGCTTTGAATCAACAACAACTTTCAGAAGTAAAAGAAAAGGTATAAATATGTGACCCTGGACCACAAAACCATCATAAATAGCACGGGCATATTTGTAGCAATAGCCAAAAATACATTGTATGGGTCAAAATGATCAACTTTTACACCAAAAATCATTAGGATATTAAGTAAAGATCATGTTCCATGAAGAAATTTTGTAAATTTCCTACCGTAAATATTTCAAAAATGTATTTATCATTAGTAATATGCATGGCTAAGGACTTCATTTGGACAACTTTAAAGGTGATTTTCTCAATATTTTAATTTTTTTGCACCCTCAGATTCCAGATTTTCAAATTGTTGCATCTCGGCCAAATATTGCCCTATCCTAACAAACCAAACATCAATGGAAAGCTTATTTATTCATAAAAATTGACCCTTTTTTGGGTTTTGTGGTGTAGGGTCACATATGGTAGGCTACTAAGTGAACATAAACCCCAGATGTGTCAAAGGTTTTGAGTGAAAATAATGACAAATGTGTTCATGATGCTGAGTTATTCAACACAAGTTTTCATGTTTACATCCCACTTTTATACATTCAGATCCCAAAGACGCTTGTCCCCCAAAAATACATTGCTATGTTTAAACACAAGACATTGATCAAAAGGACAGTGCAACTTTAGTTTAAGTGATGCTACGTATGCGTACAATTTCAGTCCATATTTATTGCCGTGTCTAATCTATTCCATTTTTCTTTTCCATTTTTGTTCCTATGAAATGTGATGTTTCTGCAGATACCAGTTTTCTCAGAGGCCAAACAAAAGGAGTCAATCCAGGTGCTTTCTTTTGAACAAGAACAAGAGTGCTTGCTTTTCTCACCCTTTTCTCAGACAGACTACTGTAAATCAATAATCAACAGTGGCAGTTCATTTGAGCGTTGACGCACACTCAAAGTAAATGGTACATTCTGATCTAATCCCTGTTTTCTTCTAAACTGTAATAAACTTCTCTACAACATCCACACACACTCGCGCATCATTCTTCTTAAGCTTTCTCAATATGCCTACACACGCAGGTCCTTCCCATTAGCAATCCTCTAGTCTACATCAATAAATATAAGCAATAAAAAAACACAAAAATCAAGACAAAAATAAGAGACTGTCCTCTCTTGAAATTGTACTGAAATACAAAGAGAATGTTTGCAAGCAATTTGATTTGAAAAATTAATAAATAATAATAAAATAAAATAAAAAATCACCGGACACATTATTCAAAACAGATGAGAATATTGCTAAATTAAAATATTTTGAATGTAAAAAACAAACAAACATAAGAACAGACTGTTTTACCTAGCAGCATACTTCAGTCATGTTTATGAGGTGCTACACTAGAATACCCCCACCAACACTATAATCAGACATAGATATCATATTTATATATATATATATATATATATATAAAACATCAGTTATATTAGCATAGAAGTAGTACTCATAGAATAAGCTGTAGAAGTAGGAACATTAGAATCTGTAGAATTTTCATCTTTAGGATCATCATAATTCATTCCTCTTCAGCGTTTGACAGTATGCAGAGTCTGTTGGTCGATTGACGGGGGGCTCAGATCGGGCCCGAGAGAAACAGAGGCAGTTCTGGAATGACAGTAATGAAGGATGTGTTTGATTGCGAGTGTGCGCATGTGTGTCACCCCACGCAGGTATGTTTCGCATGGTAATGTTGATGATCCCGGTTCATGTAGGAATAGAAAGAAAAGACGCAGAGAGGCAGGTGTGTGAAAAGCGTGTATGAAGCATATGAAATACTAGGACGCATGTGAGAGGTACTCATTTTTTTCTCTTTTATATCTCACTCGTTGTGTGTGATGTGTGCTTCAGTGTTTTTCAGATATCTACATATGGACAGGCTGTCGTTCATGTGCTTGTGACGGTAGTGTCTGCATGATGTGCGTGTGTGTTTTCAGACCGAGATTGAGGCATTGATTGGTTCCCAAGTCAGGTAATTACTGTGTTTTACAGTGCTGAGATATTTGTGTGTGTGTGTGTGTGTGTGTGTGTGTGTGTGATGATGAAAATTACAGCCCTCTCTCATCTTTTTAAGTGGGAGAACTTGCACAATTGGTGGCTGACTAAATACTTTTTTTCCCCACTGTGTGTGTGTGTGTGTGTGTGTGTGTGGTTTCTAGGTGGTGTTGGCAGCACTGGTCTCTGACTGGCTCTTGGTTGTGTTCTCTCTCAGGTGCAGGTTCTTCTGGTTTCTGCTGGCCTCGGTCAAACTCTGCAGCCGCCTCTCCTGCAGATCCTCCAAATTTCTCCACAGCTCGACTCGCTCCCTCTCCTTCTTCAGCTCTCTGTAGGGAGGAAAGAGGTAAGGGGAGGAGTGTAAAATAGAGCATAAAAGGTTTTAGGTGAAGATGAGAGGAAGACAAAAAGGATCAAAATATGTGCTTTGTTCCCATTTAACTTCTAAATGCACATGTCCAGCCTAATTGGTCTGTTTTATTACAAAAATAAAAATATAAAATAAAAATGTTAAATAAATATAGAATAAAAAAATAATAATTTAATTTTATAACTTGCTCCAGTTTCAGACATTATTATTATTATATTATTTATTTACTTATTTAAAAACAATATTTGCACCATGGAATTGGTTTTCAGTGGCATTTTTACCTTTACCTATATTGTTTTTTTAACCATAAACAGACACCAGTGACTTTAGTGTAACTTATAGAACATTATAGTAATTATTACTATTTTAGCTCAAATTTGTATATTTTATTATATTTTATTTTTATAATTTATTTTAAATTTTATATTAATTTTATTTCGTTAAGTAATTTTATTTGTGCATTTTTGTCATTTTTTTATTAGTTTTTTCTATTTATCTTTAATTTATTTTTATTTCAGTTTTAGTTCTAGTCATTTTATGATGTTAACTTATCAGGTTTAAGTTATGTAATGACATATATAACTTAAATTAATGCTTTTAGTTATTCATGTAATATTTACATATTAAATTATATTATAGGCCTACTATATTTTATATGTATTATATATGTATTAGCATATATATATATATATATATATATATATATATATATAGCTGGACATACTTCAAAGTGACTTTAATTCTCGTTTGATGTCACCTATCCATTTTATTTTGTTGTTGTTGTTGTTTTTTTATAAATTTTAATTTCAATTATATTTGAACTCCTTTCATCCAACAACTTGGCTTTATTCTGGTATGTAATGACCACTTTTTAGGAAGCAACCTATGAAGTCTTGTCCTACACTTTTACAAGCTAAATGAGTTGTAATACTGTTCATGTTGACTTCAGCACTGTCATGTACTCACTTCTGTTTCTCCACTTTGTAGGAGGCAGTAAGATCATCAAAGAGCTTGCTGTTCATCTCCATGAACGTCTTCAGCACATTGTAAATAAGAGAGATGATCGTCCTAAAAAGACAACAGAGAAATGTCTTAATCGATGTCAATAGCATTAACGTTATTGAAGTTTCTAGACACATCTTAGAATGACACTGACTGGTTCCAGTGCTCTTTGGAAACTCTGTACAGCGTGCCAAAGACCAGAGGCAGGATGACCTGGCAGTTCTCCTCTATTAGACTCAGAATGTACTCATTATTCCAGAAATACAGAGCCCGCTCTGCAACCTGAGACAGAATAAAGAGACAGAATGAGGGACCTGTACACAAACAGGTGCATACATCACCTCCATGTGTTCACAAGTACAACAGGAAGACGTCTAACGAGCAGCACTGGTGAACGACACAGTGTGGGAGGATGCTCGAGTGTGAAAGAGGAAGCTGACCTGGAAATGAGGGCTGGAGATACATGCAGCAATCTGTTTGAATAGAGGCTCCTGCACACGGATAAACTGAGACGGTTCAATCACATCCAGAATCTCCTCGATCTCCCCCAGGAACATCACCTAGGATCACATGACAGAATTATATACTGTATAAACCCATTACCAAATATTTCCAGGCAAGCACACTTGGAGTGAAGTCCATTTTCAATCAGATCTGTGAGTGGATTTCAAAACTCTTTCAGCAAAATGTGAATTAACAAATGTGACCGTGGACCACAAAACCAGTCATAAGGGTCAATTTTTCGAAATTGAGATATATGCATCATCTGAAAGCTGAATAAATAAGCTTTCCATTGATGGATGGTTTGTTAGGATCAGACAATATTTGGCCGAGATACAACCTGAAAATCTGAAATCTGAGGGTGCAAAACAAAAATCGAAATATTGAGAAAATCGCCTTTAAAGTTATCCAAATGATGTTCATAGCAATGAATATTACTAATCAAAAATGAAGTTTTGATATATTTACAGTAGGAAATTTACAAAATATCTTTATGGAACATGATCTTTAATTAATGTCCTAATGGTATTTGGCATAAAAGAAAAATCTTGAATTTTGTTCCCATACAATGTTTTTTTGGCTATTGCTACAAATATACCCCAGCGACTTAAGGTTTTGTGGTCCAGGGTCACAAATGTCATAATTCATCAGCAGCTATTAACGGCATTAACAAACAACACAACCTTCAGCATCTGCTTAAAATTTCTCAACATAAATTAAATAATCTAAACCAATCAAACATTGGTCTGTTACATATACAGTATTAGTCTGTCACTAGTAACTATCACTAACCTGGTTTCTATTCACACATTTATGTTTTTTTGTTTTTGATTTTTAAACGTGCAACTTGGAAGAAAACAGCCATTATCTGAGACAGGGCTTCCCAAACAGGTGTTCTATAATTATATAGAATGTAAAATTATAATAAATAAATGGGGCTGCAATAATTGTGATATAGCTTAGTGTGATTATCAATTCAAAGGCTGCATAACTGGTCTGATGCACTGCGTATTTCAAAATTATTCATTATTATAATTATCAAATATTCATTTTATATTTTACAGTATAAGTGTAATTAGTTAAAACACTGAAACTAATATTTATTATACTTTTTTATAAGCATCAGAGACCTGTGAACATGCAAATGTGTTATAAATATTTGAAATATTTACTTAAAATCTCAGGGGGCACTTCAAGTGAATCTTTTTTGTCTAAGGGGTTCGGCTGACAAAAAAGTTTGGGAACCCTTGTCTGAGAGGTAAAACTTTATGTATGCAATGCTTTTCTCACCTCTTTCTGAGTGCATGTTTTGGGCCAGTATCTCAGCAGCCCCCTGATGATCTAATGAAGGACAGAAAACAGACAAATGAATAAGACAATTATCTTTTTTGGTGTGACAGCACAGATATAATGGTATTAGTAGCAATTCTGGTATGTATATGAAGTTGCATGACATAATTAAGTTAGGCTTACATGTTCTGTAACTGTGGCATCCTTCTCCATGAATTGCACCACACAGTAAGCCAGCTACATGAAAAGAGCACAAAAAAGATTTTAATAAAGTCACTTACAGGTTTTTTACACACTATAGATGTCACTTCAAAGGCTTATTGATTTTAGCTGCAAGTGCTTCTGATTAAAGGGTATGAGTGTGTGTGTGTGTGTGTGTGTGTGTGTGTTTGTGGAGTTGTTGATCAGTGCAGACCATGCTTTAAGGAGACTGTTCATTGATTATAGTGAAAGCACACTCTTTCACTGTGAGAAAAAGATTACAGCCCTTATCTGATGTTCATGGTTTGATCTGAAGCACTGAGCTAACTTCACAAATAAACCATTCTTCTACTCAAGATCCCAAATGCCACCACATGGCTTTATCATCACCAGAGTTTCTGCAGCAGTCAATGCACTGGTGTGATGCATGTCTGTACTGAAAAATACATATGTGGGTGCCAATAATGTAGGTGTAACTTTATGCGAAACACGATGTGTAGCATATGTACTGCGCAGATACTGTGCACAACAGCAATAGTAAACCTGCAGTATAAGCTGGTTAGATATTGCGAGTAGTTACATGGCGCACATGAAAATGGCATTGCAGTACTTTTTTCCTAAATGTTGCTTAATTTGATCAACTTTTAATAGGGACAGTCCTCCTGGAAGAACTTTAGGTGATTTGCCTTGCACAAGGGCACAATGGTGAAAGCACATGTCCTGTTCCTTGTGAGCATCACACCAGACACCTTCTCAGTGGCGAAGCTTGCACTTTCAGTACATTATGTGGGTGTATGTGAGAAAGCCTGAGTTAGGTGCAAGCTCTAGAAATTGAATAAAGTCCATATTAACTAACTGCTAAAAAGAAAATAATTGGAAATTCAACAAACATTAAATATAAATATAGCAACTGAATATAAATATAATTTAAGCAATATCACATGAGCAAGAGTAATCACAACCCTGATGATTTTCAGAAAGAAAGAAAAACAGCAAGTGTGATATTACTTTTATACAGCACCTCAATAAACAAGAAATTAATATTGACTAACTTCAATTTTAGACCCAATAATAATATATTTTTAAGTAAACAATAATGATTTAGTAGGATTTAGTACATATATGAACATTTCAAATTTAGTACACATAAAAATATGTTTTAGTACATGAAAACATAAACATCATTTAGATATAGCTGAGTTTATATTTTAGGAAGTGGATCCCTTTTATGAGGATCATCATATTTGTCCTTGGCATCAAAACTCCTACCCTAGGCCAGACACACTTCATGTCAGGTATATAAACTGAATGAATGTATTGTGTTTAAAGTAACTAAAGAACTGGTCTTCGATACAATATGTTAATGAACCAACTCAATGGGTTCAAAGTGATTTGAGCATAATAAATGATAGACTCATAGTTCTAAGAAAGCAACCTAGTGTTTCAAGAAGAACCACTGAGACTCTACATAACTAAATGACGACATCCTAGTCTGCGCACCAAAGGGAGGTTACACGTGTGTGTGTGTGTGTGTGCACATTTGATATGGCCACGAGTGAGTGTGTGCTTTTTGTTACCACGGAAGCCCTTCTGCACCGTTGCCTGGGTGAGTGGTTAGGGTGGTGATGGTGTGTGTGTGTGTGTGTCTACTTTGGAAGGGCTGATGTCACATAAAACCTCTGTCTTTCCCCAGGGGGTAATAGCACTGTTAACTCCCTTTTTTTCTCTCTTATTCTTTACCAATGAGAACATCATAATTATCCTCTTAGTTCTCAGTCTATGTAGTGCTTTACAAAAAGGTTCAGATGTTTATCTTGTGAGGTTATGTTTATGTGCATGTGTCTGAATTTACGTAGAAGGTAATGGAAGCCTATTATGGCCGCAAAGTAAAAGAAATGAAGAAAAAAAAGAATACATGTTAATTTATTTTGCATTATTTCTCCTACATTTCACAAATGGCACTTCATATCTCACAATAATAACTTTATATTTTACATCTGCAACCTTGTCAATCATAATTGCACCTTTATCTCACAATTGCAGCTTTATTTCTTTAAAATTGTGACAAAATCTCACAATTCCAACTTCATAGCTCACATTTGTAACTGTATCTCACAGTTTTGACTTTATATCTCACAGTTCTGAAAGTAATTGTTTATTTTCATTTTAAATTTAATCTCACAATTATCTTATTTTTTTTAAATAGCAGGCAGAAACAGGTTTCCATATATGTGTGTGTCTTCATATGTTTTGTCTACCTGAGAACCAACCATAAACGGTAAATTACAGGCCAAAGTAAAACTAAGATTAAATCTCAACACTTTGCAAGGCTTTGGTATCTTTTAGCATAAGATAAAAATCCCATACCCAAGAGACACCTGAGTGAAAATATATCCCCTGGTGTCATTCAGTAGTTTGAGGCTCAATGGGGACTAAGCTCTAATCATCCAGTATAAATCCCCCAGACTTAACTCAACCACTCACCATTAGTTCCTGTGCAAACAAATAAAATAGTAACCAAATCACAACAGCCATGGGTTATACGGAGGTCAAAAGAATCACTGAAATGCACTTTTAATGCTGGTGACAAAACAGTTTATAAAAATAGAGTTCGGTATTTAGCCTTTCATCTCACTAAGAGCTCTCCAGAAACGTGTGATGTTCTGAAGAAGCCTTGAGGGAAGTGTGATTAAGGATTTGGCTGTACTGTGCTTCTGTTTCTGTGGAAGCTACATAAAATAAGTTTGGCCACCCGAAGACATTCCCTGGGAGAGCTCTACAGGCCCTTGTGACAAGTAGGAAGTATAAACAGCCCGGAGTGTGGCCACTGAATTATGGATGGGGTGATATTGACAAGGGAAAGGGCGAGTGTAGGAATGTAGGACACGCACTTTCAGAATGCACACACACTTATAGACATATACAAACAGGCAGTACTAATATTACAAAAGCACTTTAAATAAATAAATACTTAATCTTACTGACCACAATCTTTTGAAAAGTGTATATGTGTAAACAGTCAGCCATACACACACATTTATACACACAAAGGCAAATAAATTCAGACTTCAATACAGGGGTCCCAAAATAGTTTCTGGTCACTAAAAATACATTAATGTTATTGCATAGAATTATCAAACCAAGTAGAATCAGCAAAAAATAAAATAATAATAATGCTGGATTTTTTAAAATTGTATCTTGCAATGACTTGTATGAAGTCATTTCTGCTCGAGATTACAATTTAACATGGCTAATCACAGAACAACATAACGTTAAGCAGAGTTTAGAACAACATGACCGTGAGTAAATGATAGTTGTGTGAACTCTATAAGTGTACACTTTTTGGGGCCACTGGATTTAGCGTTAGTATTTAGCTCCCCCTTGTGGTATGATAGCCCATTACAGTCCATTAATTAACAGCATCAGATCTCTATGTGCATCCCAGTGTGAGTGTGTCTGGGCGTCTGAATCTAACCTGTGCATGAAAAATGGAGAGAGACTTGGCAGTGTGCAGGGGGATCAGGACCCTCACCAGGAACTGCTTGTGCTCTGATTTGAGAGGCAGAGCAAAGCCATTTATGATACTGGAAAAAAGGAGAGGAGTGGAGAGGAGAGGAGAGGAGAAGAGAAGAGAGGGTAGTAGGCGGAAAAGAGAAAAAGGAGAATAAACAGGATTAGTATCAGACGTCCTGATCATGCTCTGTACACTCATTCGCCACATTATTGTTCATCAGCTAATCCCCCGCTAAACCCCCCTCATCCTTCCTCTCTTTCTGACTGTCTCCTCCTCTCTTCCTCTCATTTCCTTAGTTGTATCTTTGTTCTTCTACTCAGGCTGTTCCTCCCATTGCTTAGTTGCTATTTAACTCCATTCCATCCATACTGTCTGTCTCTGTTTCTTTTTTATTCTACCATCCACCCTCTATCTTCTTCGCTCTTTATCTTTCTCTCTCATTTTACACATACATTCTCTCCGCAATTCTTGCCTGTCTCTCCTTCTATTGCATTCTTTCTCTTTCTGTTTGTTTACTTTGCTTATCTGACTGCATATAGCAAAATATACATATTTTATCTGGCAAAATTCAGTTTCAAATGCACTGTAAACAGAATTGTTCAATGAAATATTATCTAAATTGAAAATCTATTTTGTTTAAATTTGTGGCGTTTTTAAAATTGACAATGATAAAACTATTTAAACATATTTTTCTGTATTTGATCAAATATGGCATGTTAAATATTTATAAAATGATTCTGTACTATAATATATTTCTAGATTAGAATATTTCTATTATCTTAATTATATTTTTTAAAAATGCCAAAAAAATCTGTAGATTTAAAAAATACATATTTTCACATTTTTCATATAATATATATTATCAATATCCTTTTCTGATTATGTTTTTGACCATATATTTAAAAAATATAGTAAAATGCATATTTTTCTGCATGGGACCCATCGTTTCTCGCTCTAATTCTACAGCTCTCTCTCTCTCTCTTCCTCATTCTCTCTTCAGTAGTGATCAGAGATATGTGTGGGTGGGAGGCACTATAAATACTACTGGCATCAACCTGAATTTAGACCTCCATCCCCAACACTCTGACTCATGCCTCCCCCTGGTTGTCTCTCTCTTCCCCTGTTTCTCTCAGTCAAAGGTTTGCTTTGTTTATGCTATTAAACACATCGAGAATCAGACACCATTTTGTGTGCATTGAACCCAATATGCAAAGCAGCACTGGTTCCACTGAGAACATGGCTGTGAATTATATGGCTGGACACGCTGAGGACGGGAAACATGACTGCAGAACACGCAGCGAGCGCTGATGTCGGAGGTCTCTGCTAAGTGTCTGAATCACCAGCTCACACGCCATAAAGCATCTCTCCAGTAATTTGCTGCTACATTAAGTTACTTAACACTATAATTTACTCATTTAAGATTATAGTACAAATATCATAAGATGCTATATGTACCTCCTAACTCTGGAAACAATGAGTAAACCACAGGAATCTACCTTATAATCTTCTAATTTACATTGGGTTGCTTTATTAGCATCATCTGATCTGATTTTTAACACACACTTAGTGTGCTTTCTACTTTGACAGTTTGAAAGTATATCTACCTTCCCAAAATTTCCAGAAGTTCAGCAACTCCATTGAAACGCTCAGTTTCATAGATGAACCTGCAGATTTTAAAAATAGATATAATGGCAGACATAAAGACTAACAAAAAGCAGTCACTGGCTTTGTAATATCAATACTGCTCATGCGTTTTGTCTGTATGACTGACCTGAGGAAGATGTTGTTGATCTGTTTGCGGATGTAGGCCCTCAAGCCCAGAAGTTTGCCATAGACATATGTACCTCCTAACTCTGGAAACAATGAGTAAACCACAGGAATCTACCTTATAATCTTCTAATTTACATTGGGTTGCTTTATTAGCATCATCTGATCTGATTTTTAACACACACTTAGTGTGCTTTCTACTTTGACAGTTTGAAAGTGTATCTACCTTCCCAAAATTTCCAGAAGTTCAGCAACTCCATTGAAACGCTCAGTTTCATAGATGAACCTGCAGATTTTAAAAATAGATATAATGGCAGACATAAAGACTAACAAAAAGCAGTCACTGGCTGTGTAATATCAATACTGCTCATGCGTTTTGTCTGTATGACTGACCTGAGGAAGATGTTGTTGATCTGTTTGCGGATGTAGGCCCTCAAGCCCAGAAGTTTGCCATAGACACGGTGCAGGATAGTCTTCAGATATTCTCTCTCTCTGGGGTCCTCGCTGTCAAATAACTCCAGCAGCTACACACACACACACACACACACATAGTCAGCCCTTTTGCACTTTATTAAAAACACTACTCATGAATATGTATAATTGGTGTGAGTAGAATCAGAAATACTAACAGTCTAACATGGAGGTTAGACTGCCTGTTCGGTATCTGAGAAATACTGCAATTTGACTATGATACAATACATATTTAAAATCTCATATTGCTGCTCGAAGATATCAAGGCTAAAAGAAAAAGAAAAAAAAAAGAAACATAAAATCACACTGAAAATATTCAACAGGGTGTGCCAAATCTACAAAAAAGACTGGACTTTAAAATGGGCTAAGATCACTTATGATCGCCTTGAGTCCACTTGCCCATATTCATTCACATGAATTCATTATGTATTGATTTCATTATATATTAGTGCAAAGAAAAATGCAGAATAACAAATATATTATTATTTTTTAAATTACATTGCAGCCTTCTTATGTTTACAATTTATAATTGTTAAAAATCACACAAGGCCTATATACCTATATCTCTACATCTATACAAGCTCTGTACCTGTAGAACAAACTTCTGGTCCACGTAGCGCTTGGCAAGAGAAGGCTGGAAATCTGGACTCTCAAGAAAGCGTAAAAAGAATTCATACACCAACTAGATTTTTTTTTTAAAAGGATAGGAGAGAAAGAGAGAGGAAATGGGATCAGAGCTGGGACACAAGCTATAAAAAACTCATAATGATTTCTCACCCCATGGTGTCAGTATATGTGTTAGTGTGTTTGTGTATATAAGAACTTGAGAATGCACATGTACCTGTAAGTGAGGCCAGGAGGCTTCCAGAGCAGGTTCGTCTTCTTCCGGATCAAACTCAGGGTTCTCACTGGGTGGGAGAGTTCGAAAAATGTTCACTGAGATCTACAGGAAGAAGAGGGGTTGAAAGGTTGTGTTTTACTAAAGCATTGAAATAAGACAACAAATGATAATGAAAGACTCCAAATTTCGTTTTTGAAAAAAGGAAAAGGAAAGTGATCCTCAAGGGCCAGAGTTGAGAACCCCTGTTCTAAAGTCATTTTTAATTGTACGCCTTTATGAGCTTCCTTGCTTCAAAATGGTAAAATGGTAATACCACATGACATCAGATTGGTGACATCAGAATATAAAACATTGTACGAATCTATGACCATATTCAAATGCAAATTCACTTGACAGCTATTTCACATAAAAAAAAAATTTACTCACAAACCAATTGAAGTCCAGTTAAACAAAATTGTGCAATGCTGTCAGCATTTAAATTAAAGGGATAGTTGACCAAGAAATTAAAATTCTGTTGGAAACCAAACAATTTTGGCGACTTAGGCTCATTATAGATTTCACAGGAGCTCATTGCTATTTGCTTTGCACAGTTGTGCATTTCAGTTGAATGGAATTTCAGGTAAATGGAATTTCATTTTAAAAGATGTTTGTGTACATTTCTACTGATCAGAGCAACAGTAATTCATTGTTACCTGATTTGCATAATTCCTCTAGTGAAGGAGGGGCTAAAAACAACAGCACAGCATATGCAAATAAACTGTATTATCAGAGGGCGCAAATTCATTCTTAGTGAATTCTCCCCTTTGTCTTTCATATCAAAACATAAAAGGACCGGTTAACAAAAATCAATTGCTTTCCAATTAAGATATTTTTGTATTTCAGCTACATATTGTACAGAGCTAATGTAGCTAATCACAAGGAAACGTAAATGCTTCTGAGTCTTTAAGTGCACTTTAGAGCATTGGAGATCCTGTGTATCCCTCAACGATTTTATCCTCCCCATGCCAACTCTGCTCTTTTATCAAATACCATCCTACTCCATCACTTTTTCTCTCTTTCGCGATTCATCTCACCATCTTAATTGCCTCTGGGTACAGGGGTTCGATGAGGACTCCGCGACTGGTGGCCACGCTCTCCACAAGCTCGTTCAGCGCAGCACGTTTGATCTCTTTCCCCTTCAGGTCGGCCACACAGTCCAGAAAGTCAAAAAGCACACAACACTGCTGCAGCTTCTTACAGAACAAGTCATGAAGTTCTGCCACGGGAGCATCTGTGAGACAGGAAGGAGAGAAGATGTAATTAATCTAGGACACAAATATACTTATACAATATACACAATTACACTGCACATTTACTATTTACCGTCCAATTAAGATATTTTTGTATTTCAGCTACATATTGTACAGAGCTAATGTAGCTAATCACAAGGAAACGTAAATGCTTCTGAGTCTTTAAGTGCACTTTAGAGCATTGGAGATCCTGTGTATCCCTCAACGATTTATCCTCCCCATGCCAACTCTGCTCTTTTATCAAATACCATCCTACTCCATCACTTTTTCTCTCTTTCGCGATTCATCTCACCATCTTAATTGCCTCTGGGTACAGGGGTTCGATGAGGACTCCGCGACTGGTGGCCACGCTCTCCACAAGCTCGTTCAGCGCAGCACGTTTGATCTCTTTCCCCTTCAGGTCGGCCACACAGTCCAGAAAGTCAAAAAGCACACAACACTGCTGCAGCTTCTTACAGAACAAGTCATGAAGTTCTGCCACGGGAGCATCTGTGAGACAGGAAGGAGAGAAGATGTAATTAATCTAGGACACAAATATACTTATACAATATACACAATTACACTGCACATTTACTATTTACCGTCTTTCCTAGTCTAGCTTGCTAATAAACCTGGCATTGTACACATATAAAGGTTCTATATTGGCATCTATGGTTACATGAAGAACCTTTAACATCCATAGAACCTTTAAATTAAAGTAAAAGTTCACCCAAAAATTAAAATTCTCTCATCATTTACTCTCATGACTCTCATGTCATTCCAAGCCTGTGTGATTTTCTTTCTTTTGCAGAACACAAAATAATCTATTTTGCAGAAAGTTGGCAACCAAACAGTTTTGGTGACCAGTGACTTAGATTTTATGGAAAAAATTCTAAATACCTTCTTTTATGCTCCACATTTATACAGGTTTGGGAGATAATAAATAAATAATAACAGAATTGTCATTTCTCGATAAACTATCCTTTTACACATTGTCGTTCTTTTCAGTGCTTTTTTTCAGCACTTTTTGTAATGCGACACTCTTCGGTTCCAAAAGAGGGTTTTCATAGCGATGCAATAGGAGAACCATTTTTGATTCCTCAAAGAACCTCTCAGTGAACTTAAAAGAACCTTTTGTGCAATGGAAAGGGTCCATGGATTTTAAAGGTTCTTCATGGAACCATCAATGTCAATAAAGAACCGTTATTTTTTAGAAGTTTATGCACTCACACGGCACAATTAGGTTAAAGATTGCTGGAGTTACACAGACACTTGGATCTATAGAGTATATTAATGCAGATTTCTTGAAGTGGATGGACGGGATGCTAATGAGAAATGAGTGGAGGCGTCTGGTGTTAACAGGATTAGCGGGTGCTATCTTTAACCCCTTGCTGTCTCACCCCTCTGTGGACATTGTACCTCGAGCCACAACAACCATGACAATCCACTCCATTCATCCAAAAACTCAACACAACTTACATGCCCTACTGTTCCTGTACAACGACTTGTGAATTGCTCTCTCTTTTTTTTAGCCTCAGCATGGCACTTTGTACAATAACTCTCCATTAAAAGTGTATTAGTCTTAACAGTCTGCAACAGCTAGACTCAAACCAAGTGGGTCGGCGTGCAGCAAGCTAGGCCAAAGGAGACAGATAGAATAAATAATAAACAGAACGTGCAAATAAAGAGAGGGATGTGATGAAAAGAGGTGGTTATGTAGCGGTTTGTGTTTGTTTGTTGTCAGAGTGAAGGATAGGTTGCAAGAGTGCATGACACAGCCACAGCAGTCAGAACAGAAAAAAACGAAATTGTCCAGGGAAAAGTGTGAGAGGGAAAGAAGGCGGAGACACAAGAAACTGGAAACACACAGCGCATGAGGGTAAGAGCAAAGATTAGAGTATGAATGAAATATATGAAATGAACTTAAATCATGGAAAGAATGTGAAAACTATAATGACTTATGTGAAGAAATAGCAATTTTACATCTGAAGTTAAATATCACTCCAGTTAGATCAGTCGTCTCTAATAAACATGCTGTAATGTTGTACATGCAAAGCTGCTAAATATAGAGTGGCCAATAAGCAACAGTGGGGCATAGAGAGAGAGAGAGAGAGCGAGAGAGAGAGAGAGAGAGAGATGCATGCTAGGGCAAGAAAACAGTGCAGAGAGAGCAAGAGAGATGATGTCATCCCTCTACCCTGTTCCTCTCCTCATGATCTCCTTTTACCCCTCCTCTCCATCCTTCTCTCACTCTCACTCGCTCTGTGGGTCTCTTTCTGTGGAAGTGTGATTTTAATGAGGAAACTCTTTCTGGTTAAAGAGGTATTGCTGTGTTTGGGTGGCTGTTGAGATCCTGTATTTTTTAACCACCAAAACCCATAACAGAGCAGAGCAAAAATACTGCACAACAAAACAGGAACCTTGAATTGCCACATTTCACATGAGCTTTTTTTGATGATGTGGAATGATGTAGGCAAATTAGGAATTCCAGTGAAACTGAACTGCAACGCCAGTACGGGAAGCTATAATATAAAACGAATAAATACGTACAATGCTATATTATAATATCTTTCAAATTAAAGCTATTAATTAAGCTGTAAGGTTAAAGCATGACTTAATATTTTAAATCACAAGTATATTTATTGAAAGAAAATGGTTTATTATTAAGTAATGGAATAAGATCAAATATTATCATCAAATATGACTGAATGTATAAATAAAAATATATGAATATGAATAGAATTACTGCCATCCAAAAAATTTGGGGTCAGAAATATATATATATTTTAAAGTAATTGAAATCTGACCAAAACAGACAGTAAAAACTTTTACAATACTACAAAAAATATTTCATATAAATGCTGTTCTTTTGAACTTCCTATTCATTAAAGAAACAAAAACGTATCACTGTTTCCACAAAAACATAAAGCAGCACAGCTGTTTTCATTGATAATAATAAGAGATGTTCCTTAAGCACCAAATCAGCATATTAGAATAAGTTCTGAAGGATCATATGACACTGAAGAGTGGAGTAAAGGCTGCTGAAAATTAAACTTTGCCATTACACTAAATTACATTTTCAAATATATTAAATATTGCTCATAATTTATTTTATTTTTACAAAATCATTATACAGATAAATGCAGTCTTGGTGAGCATAAAACAATTTTACAGGGCCAAAACTTTTGAATATATATATATATATATATGTGTGTGTGTGTGTGTTTTTCTTCACTTTCTATGGACAAGGACCAGTCTGGCTCAACAAATCTTGATCTCAACAACAGCTCTCCCTCAGTACAGTGTTCTTCCACTTACAGCCTCACGTGCTTATCCACTTCACTGTCTCTCTCTCTTTCTCTAATGCTCTTTTTCTCTTCCCTGTCTCTATAATCACTCACTCCCTCTTTTATTCTCTTCCTCTTCCTCTCTTGCCATTTTTATTGATCGGAGGAGGCCAGAGTGGGAGCAGGCCTTCTGTGTACTGTAACCCAACACCAGTCCTGACCAGCTGGACCCCCCCCCCCGAAAAATCACTTTCTTAAACACAGACATATTTGTTACCCTGAACCCTGTACACAAGTACAGTAATCATCATACTCCAAGGTGAATGCTAATAGATTTGAAACGCTGTCCTAGCCCAAAACACTCATTTCTGTTTCACTTATGGATTTGGGAGTTTTGAATCTGCAGACTGAGAGCTCTGAGCTGCCCATTGTCTATGTGAAGACACTCTCCCTCAAGCAGTGGCAGCTATTTACAGAGACACATGCTCACAAACTCACGAGGACTAGTAGTGAAGTCACTCCTGAGGCTTGAGAGGAAAAAATAACACAAATTAACATGAAGAGCAGAATTCGAAGGTCTACAAATGAGGATAAGCACCACCAATTGCTCAGACCATTAATACATCGACAGTCTTTTTTTTCGGTAACTAATAACCCAGACTAGCAAACCTGGCAGCGTTGGCCATGTTTTTGGCCGTTCGACCAATTAAAGATTCAGGTCATGTTTTGGACTGATAAAGCATCTCAGCTGTTTTCCTCTCTTTCTCTCTACTGCACACATACACAGATAGGGACTCACAGGTAAATTCAGAGACCAAACAAACACTCACACGTTCTGTGTCAGGTGGTGTTTGTCATGCTCTGCTCAAGTTAATCTTGTGTTTAAAAGGCATTATATATGCTGTACCATTAATGAAGCTTAAATATGTAGCAGGTACAAGATGCAAACAAAAAAAGCATAACTTTTTAGCACATTGACAGTTTGGCCAATCCATGTACTACTAATTGCCATTCTAATAGGTGTTATTTTGATGTTGTGATCATTAAAGAAAAGGCATCACTTTATTTTTTGTTATAAGGGATAATAATCATTACCTATTTTTATAGGGGATAATAATCGTTACCTATTTTGCTTGAGTTCAGTAATAGAATTAAGAAAGATCCCAAAATTGAGAATGATTAAAACCTTCCTGAAGTTTCATTGACAGTTAACAGCCTATTTTTACATGGCTAGCAGTTGTCAGTGGTTTGATTATATTATTTTAAATTAAACTGATGTTTCATGAAGTATAATCAAACAAAATACCACATACAACAGAACTGTGCATTTTTTATACAATTATGGGTTATGAAATAGAGCTAAATTAATATATAGCCAGTCATAGGGTTGAAATTGAATACAGTGTACTTAGTAAGACAAAATAAGATGTTGATTAACACTGGAGATGTATCTCAGTGACATGTGAATGACTAAAAGCAGGTCACTTGGATGGTTAAACAGGACAGGGGCTCAGTCTGGACCCCCTGTGACACACCAACTGGCAGCACACCCTCAGCTGGAGTGTCTCATGAAAACTGGTACCACTAAATACAACTTCACTGGAAATGTCGCTCAGATGATACCCGTATTAGAATAAGTGAATCATGCTAAAGTGTGAATCATGAAATCGTGTATGAATTTGGAAAACCTATGATGCCGAGTGCCATACAGGTGGGGATAACACTGCAACTGTGTGTATTCTTTGTGAAAAAAAATCACAGATCAGCTACTCTGAAAAATAGGTGCTATGCAACTCAAATGTTTTATTTAAGACTCTAAGACTCTCTATCTCTCTCTTTCTCTATTTATAGCTGTTTTACCTGAGCTTTCTATAAGGTTCTCGTCACAAAATTTTATCGCTCATATACTTCTTTAAATTCAAACTGCCCCCACACTCAATACAGTAACTTCCCAGCCACTTCCCAGTGTGTGGCTTATAGCTTCTCCATCACTTCAGGTTGATGGCTAAAATGAGCTCATGGAAGTGAAGCTATTACTGTGTCCTGACTGAGGATGCTTTTAACCACAAAGCTTCCAAAACTAACAAAGTAGGCTACTTGGCACAGACTACGACAAGCCTACAGATGCCACTGGAGAGAAGACTGCATTCAAAAAATAATTTTTGCTGCTAGTTCAATTAAGTTATTTAAAATGAGGTAATGCAACACAATTGCTACTTAATTTCATGCCATGAAAAACACGTTTGTAAAACAGAAGTTTACTCACTGCATTTGGACTACATGAATAATTGTGTTGCCATTAACTAAACTGGATTAGGAATTTCTGATTCCCAGCAAACTTTGCATAGGACTAGGTTGTTGACTAGAAATGTTATTTTGTATGTTTTTGAGCCAGATTCTATGGTTTGTGTTGCTTCCCTTAATGAACAGTTATGCAAATCCCACTGCAATGAGCAATCTCTTCTTTCCTGCACTTGCCAACATCCTACATTATAAGCAAGAAAAGTTGCTTATGATATTGATATATCATATATATATATATCATACTGGTAAAAAAATTATAGCCTGAATGCACTGTAAGTCGCTTTGGGAAAAAGCATCTGATATATGCATAAATTATTATTATTAATTATTAATTATTATTATTAATTATATTGCTATGTTAGCTAATACTGCAAAGGGTTCATTTGAGTTACTTTGATACATCTAATCTTATTGGGGTTACTCAATTAATTTAGGTTTCTGCTACACAACACAAGGTATCTGAGTTGAGTTGAATTTAATGTTACAAAACCCGCTTTCCATGTAATGTAACCAATATAAATTCAGTCAGAACATTGGATCTTTTAGATTATATATCCTTGAATGACGGTATCATTAAAGCGAATTCTACTGAGTCTAGCTGTGCTCCTCAGAAGATTTAGTTACATTTGGAGTCCTTATGGAGGTACCATGACATCTCAAGGCTGCTCAAGAAAACACTGAGTTCACAACTACCAAAATGGCTGTAATAGCCTATTTCAGTATCAGGGGATACATTTTTATTCTCCATATTTCCTAACTAACATGCCATTTAAAACAAACCACCTCACGTCCCAGTTAAAGTAACCTACCTTTAAGTAAGGGCAGCGGCGTGAGCTCCACCTGGGAGCTCTGATAGCGGAACTGTGAGGAGCTGTGGGACCGTCGCTGCCGGGCACGGCGCATCGAGCGGCGGGGGAAGCCGTCTACCTTCTCCGCGCTCGGTACAGAGAAGCCCGTGGTCGGCGATGATGGGCTCGACGGAGGTAGCTTCGTAGGGGTCTCCATCCCTGCAAAGGTGGTGCTCGGCAGAAGGTTGTTCGAGGAAGGAAGCCAACGGCGAGAGCAGGCTCCTAAGCCTTGCTATTTAGACAATTTTTTTTCTTGGATTTAAAAAGTAAAATCAACAAGCAGGGATCGACTAAAGACAGAAGTTATCTAACCTGGTCAAAAATGTAGACAGAGGGATGGTGGAGTAAAACCTATGGGTGTTCAATTTGACGCGTCTCTCGCCCGTGTTACATTAAAAAAACGAGATTAGACTCGGAAATAAGCACAAGGGTGGATGTAACTGTCTATATCTTCATGGAGAGATATTGATGTGAACATACATTTCTACAATAAAGACATCTCTGCCGTACTGTCGTCATCAGAAAGTAATAGGCCTAAATGTGGTCTTTATTTAAATATTTATAGGCTAGAGGCATAAATCGGTACCGTATTAAAACTCGGGCGTAATAAGCATTCTATACAGTGATCATGGGCCAATCAATCCACGTTAGAAAAACAAACGAGCAATTAAAATCCTGTTATTTATCTCCTCCACACAGGTACAAATGCATCACTTATTAATTAAAGGTTATCGTCATATTACCAGTCACCAGTTCTGCGCCTTAAGTCCTTTTCAGAGCCTTCCGGCGCCCCCTACTAAAATCCGTTACCGTACAGTCGGTTCGGTTCGGTCAGATCCACACAGGGCGGGGATGAACTGCTTCAAACGTGCCTACATGTGTTGAGCATCACGGCAGCCGCTGCAGCACTGATACCCCCTTCTACCTCCTTGCCTCAAATACTACAAGAAACCGCTGTTCAGTTACTTCTGTATCACAAGGACGTTGACAGTCTCGTTGATTTCCCCCGTCGCCCTTCCTCTCCGCTGACTGCTCGTGTTTTCCACCCGTTTCTTTATTTCCCAGCAGTCAGTGTCGGTCGTTGTATTCAGGTGGTGCAAGTAGATGTAGATGCTACACACTGCGGATGACGCTCACGCGCTCTTATTTATTTATTTATTTATTTATTTACTCTTCCTACATTTGCGCGACCCTCTTCTAGACGTCGCTATATGTTATATGGCTATACCGTTGACTCTATTCACCGTTTAAGTGACTATTTGTTTTTATTTAATCCGTATCTTTATCAGACAGCTGTCTTCTACCTCAGCCCCTTTCCCTTCTCCTCCCTCTGTCCCTCCCTCACTGGCTGCCTCAGCCTGTGTTAGCTGCTGTGTTTTGGAAATGTCAGGTTGGCCATTGTTCTTGCTTCATTCGTTCATTATTCCGCGCGTTCACCCGTCGCTGTATCCGCTGATTTTTGTTCAGTCCGTCGCTAACTACGAGTTCTGTGATATCAGTCGAAGGACGACGTGCCGCTGAGCTACCTAAAGACTACTAAATGTGATGCTAAACGTTATGGGCGTTTTGGCAATCGAGAGAGCATCCCCAACTGCTGTACCATCGAGAAAGATCGAGTGCTATTGATATGGCTTGTTTTACAGAAATTTTCTTCAAGGTTTCATGCATTGACATATTCTTAGGTGTAACTAAGTCAATGACAAATACAAAAAAATATTTAAAAAATCAAGTTCTTAATACTTCTTTATACAACTACTACATTTATATTTTAATGACTTTAAAAAATGGCCAGTTGGATGACCATCAAGTAGGCTACACCACACACAAAATAAATAACGTTTTTAAAGACTAAATTAGTCTAAAAAACTTTGTTTTTTAAAGGCTAAATATTGACTTAGAAAATCACATTTTTAAAATATTTGTTTACAAATATAATACATTTTTAAGTCATTAATATCATAATTGCTTGAACATTACTCTAACCAGAACAAATATCAAAATATATGTAAATAAAATGGCTGCCTGCATATTGGTCACACCACACTTACTTTGATTTGACAGACAACGTTTTTTTAAATATTAACAATAAAAAAAGAATGAAAAAATGTGTCAAGTTGTTTATTTCAACATTTCCTATTATTTCCTTTCAATGGCACTTTGGCAGTCTACAGTTACACATTTTCAATAAAATGGCTGCCTGCATATTGGTCACACCACACTTACTTTGATTTGACAGACAACGTTTTTTTAAATATTAACAATAAAAAAAGAATGATAAATATGTGTCAAGTTGTTTATTTCAACATTTCCTATTATTTCCTTTCAATGGCACTTTGGCAGTCTACAGTTACACATTTTTTTTTACTAATCCCCACTAAAATATAATTTTTAATTCAGGCTAATAAAGAAATATACGTTTTGAACCATAAACAAAACTAGGATGTATTATTATTCACAGGGCGTACCTAACACCGGTTTACATTCATAAAATATTCCTCAATGTTTCCCAGTTGTTTTTTAAATGTAAGGTTGACATTGTTACAGTGATGCATGTGTTTTGGGACTGCGACAGGATCAAAGTACACTGGAGGGAGATTCACAAAACTGTGCAGAAGATTACTGGTAAATCCTTTGCATTGTCTCCGAATGTATATCTACAGGTACAGAATGTGTTACATTTTTTAACAGATTTGGTGGGGGGGGGGGGGGGACTTCTGTTATGGTCAGCCCCACAGATCAGGCTGAGTCAGGCTGCTTCTCTTAAACCATTAGAAAAGCTTACATCAGAGGCCTAAAAACTTTTGACATACTTGGTCTCCTCTTTGTGCTGATTGTTACATTCCTCTGAACAGAGTACATATTTTGTTTCTACATATGTTCAACTATTCTGAATTGTTGTTTGTTTTTTTCATCTTTCTCTCTCCTTCCTGCTTCACTATGTGTTTGGATGTGTTATTGCTATATACAGGTGCATCTCAATAAATTAGAATGTTGTGGAAAAGTTCATTTATTTCAGTTAGTAAAATCAACAAGCAGGGATCGACTAAAGACAGAAGTTATCTAGACAATTCAACTCAAATTGTGAAACTCGTGTATTAAATTCAATGCACACAGACTGAAGTAGTTTAAGTCTTTGGTTCTTTTAATTGTGATGATTTTGGCTCACATTTAACAAAAACCCACCAATTCACTATCTCAACAAATTAGAATACTTAATAAGACCAATAAAAAAAACATTTTTAGTGAATTGTTGGCCTTCTGGAAAGTATGTTCATTTACTGTACATGTACTCAATACTTGGTAGGGGCTCCTTTTGCTTTAATTACTGCCTCAATTCGGCGTGGCATGGAGATGATCAGTTTGTGGCACTGCTGAGGTGGTATGGAAGCCCAGGTTTCTTTGACAGTGGCCGTCAGCTCATCTGCATTTTTTGGTCTCTTGTTTCTCATTTTCCTCTTGACAATACCCCATAGATTCTCTATGGGGTTCAGGTCTGGTGAGTTTGCTGGCCAGTCAAGCACACCAACACCATGGTCATTTAACCAACTTTTGGTGCTTTTGGCAGTGTGGGCAGGTGCCAAATCCTGCTGGAAGGGATAGGGGACCAGATTACTTCCCTCACCTTTTTTCCCTTCTTTTTTTCCTTGACCATAGATGGCACAAAATCTCATCTCAGCATTTTAAAAATAGTTTTTAAATAGTTTTGAGGTATATTGATTTAATTGTGTGTCTCTGAAGTGATCTATAACATTGTATTATGTTGAAAATCAAAGTTTTTGTGCCTATTTATTAATGAGGGATTTGTGGACACATCAGTGTTTTTAGATTTGTGGAGTAAAAGTTATAGTTTTTATTTTGAAGTAAAAGGTAAAAATATACCATTGGGATAAAATGACTTTCCCCCAGAACTGGCACAGAAGGCCCCAAGTGGCATGTTGTTACTAGTTTTTATTATTTTTAAACTTCATACTTATTGTATTTAATGGGGTTATTATAATTTTTCCACGAATTAGATGTACATTTCAGACATCTTTGATTTCATTAAAATGTATAGGTTAAGAGTAAAATCATAAAATTTGCATTTATAGTGTTTCTTTTATGACATGTCTTCAGTTAAAATATGGTCAATTAAAGATGTAAAAATTCATATGCTTGCATATAAATCATAGAATAATTTTATCTTTCAGATGAATCTCTTTTACTGTGATTCTGCTTTGTCATCGGTTATTCAATTATTCAAATTGTCAAAATAAAAATTTAAATAGAATAGTTGATTTAGTACTTTACATTAATGAGAATGATTAAAAAGTCAATTATACATTCTGTAAATGTTTCTCTGGGGGGCTTCTTACCCCTGTTAGGGGGGCCATCTTACCCCTCATTTAATATTTAAATTAAATTAGCAACTGTTTCCATTCATTTCCTATAGTACCACATTGGCTGATCATCATCATCCTGCACATGCTAAACTTATATCTAAATATGTTACAATTTAAAAGTAAATCCACATTGTTCTTAAGGGGGCATCTTCCCCCATCTTACACAACTAACAAGAAGGTAAAAGTGGCATGGCTGACCAACCGATCATATAACCATACAGACAAAACTGAGTGAGATTAACCAAAGACTATAGAATACCCAAGACGTGTTACTCGTATAGTTTTGAATGGGGAAAAAATCATAGACTGTGCCGTTCTGAGACGTGCTCTTAGGACTGTGCATGCGCACTGGCTGATCTAGCCTGAAAAATAAGCTTTTTATAACGCTATTTGAGCAAAAGTAACAACATTTATGACACAGTTGTTGGCAGATTTCTTTGGTGATTTCAAATATGAAATTTAATCGTAAGCTTAGTGAACAGTTATGGAGAATTTGATGTTTCCCCATTCAAAGAGATAGGAGTTGCACTTGCATGCCCTAGCGGCGTTTCAAAGATGGCCGCTGAGTGACATGACTTGTCTTAAAGGGGTCATATGATGCCATTTCAATTTTCCCTTTCCCTTTGGAGTGTTACAAGCTCTTGGTGCATAAAGAAGATCTGTAAAGTTGCAAAGACTTAAGTCTCAAATCCAAAGAGATATTCTTTATAAAAGTTAAGAGTCAACCACGCCTACCAAAAACAGCTCATTCTAACACACCCCCACATGTCTACGTCAGAAAGTGGGAAGATTTGCATAACGCCGCCCAAATGTTCACGCAAAGAAAGAAGGAATAACTTTGATTCTCACTGTAGTATTGTTGCCGTGTGTTTCGTTGTGAAAGCGAAACTACTTCGTTTGGTCTTCCAAAAGAGGACAATATCCGCTTCGTCATGCCTGGAGCTGATCCGTGCTGGTTGCTGAGGAAATACATCATCTTCGCGCTGTGGATCGCCGGATCGGCTTTCACCGTGGATGAAGCAGAGTCCAGCCCGGGGTCGTCACATGTGGTTGCCGCAAGCCCGCCGGCCGCGCCATTCTCAAGCCTGCTGGCCTCTGCTCACTCTAGCCCGCCGTCAAGTCAAGTCAAGTCACCTTTATTTATATAGTGCTTTTAGCAATACAGATTGTGTCAAAGCAACTGAACAGCATTAATTAGGAAAATAGTGTCAATAATGCAAAATGACAATAGTAAACACTAATTTTTCAGTTAAAGACAGTTCATCATTGAATTCAGTGATGTCAACATCCAGCTCAGTTTAAATAATATCTTTGCAATCATGTCAACGATAACGCTGGAAATGAAGTGTCCCCAACTAAGCAAGCCAGAGGCGACAGCGGCAAGGAACCAAAACTCCATCGGTGACAGAATGGAGAAAAAACCTTGGGAGAAACCAGGCTCAGTCGGGGGGCCAGTTCTCCTCTGACCAGACGAACCAACAGTACGGAAAAATCCATTTAAGACGTAATAAAACAGACGATGAATAATATTAACAGCAATTATTATATAATTGCTGTTAATAACTTCCGTGTGTGATGCTGTGTGTTTCGTTGTCAAAGTGAAACTACTTTGTTTGGCCTTCCAAAAGAGGACACAAAGTCATTCTTGAGAAGTGGGACAAAACAGGGTGCATAATTGAAAAAATAAAACCTTGTACTCAGACAAATGAAACTACATTTATGTATCTTATATGTATTAAGCTACTGAGCTCTGCTTTGATACAACCTCCCGACTTTTCTCTTTTTTTGTGCTTTTTTACCTTGGACTGTAATATAATTTCAACTTTATCTTGAATTAAAGTTAATAGCAGTTACCCTTGCTGGACCTGTTTTGTCCCACGTCTCAAGAATGACTGTTTTATGTTACGCTCCGGCCGGACAGGGCATCAACAGTATGGTGAGGGGCGTAACATTTCCGTCACACGCTTGAGGTATTCGGCCAATCACAACGCACTGGATAGCTGACCAATCAGAGTACACCTCGCTTTTCAGACCGATGAGTTTTGTAAAAATCAACGCGTTTCAGAAAGGCGGGGCATAGAGGAGAAACAATAATGTACAGTATGTGGAAAATAATGTGTTTTTTTAACCTTAAACCGCATAAACACATTCCATTACACCAAATACACAAAATAATGTTCTTTTTAGCAGCATCATATGACCCCTTTAAAAGGATTTTGGATTAATTTACTTTACAAGAAGTCTTTTTGGTGGAGTTCAGCTCTCATGTTTGGAAAATGCACAAGGGGGCGCTGCTATAGAAACGACTGGTAGACAACTTTCTTCACCTATTGGAAAAGCAGACACGCCCTTGCCGCGGTTCTCCTTCGCCAATAGAAAAAAAGCCCAAAGTATGAATGACAGTTAAAAGAACCAATCATATTTCTTCAGCTCCATCTTTACACACTCTCTAACCAATCATACTTCAATGTGTTGTGTCAACTCACAGTAACGCTTCCGTGTTTCCAGTCTGGCTTCGCGCACAACGCATGTGATTTTTATTTAGGAAATTATTTGACGTGCCTCGATAGTTAACGTTTGATTTCTGGTTAAGGTCAGTTCAGTGGTTTACACTTAAACGTTCGCGATGGGTTTACTGACGATCTTGAAGAAGATGAAGCACAAGGAGCGTGAAATGCGTCTACTTATGCTGCAAGTTATCTTTTCACAGAACTGAATTCAAATGTATTCATATAAATAACTTATTCTTTTTAAGCCACTGTTTTTATTTGTAATAAAGTGCATACTCGCTCTATTCACGAGTGTCGCTTACTCAAACAAGGCTCGTTTAGTGTAATGTTTTATTACTTGAAATGTTAAAGACTGTAGTGGGTCCTTAACCTTCCTGTTATAGGGGTCTTGACAATGCTGGGAAAACAACCATCCTGAAGAAGTTCAACGGCGAGGATGTCAGCACGATCTCTCCAACATTAGGCTTCAACATAAAGACGCTCGAGCACAGAGGGTACGACGAAAGACTGGTTGTTATACATGTTTTGAATCAATAAGAAGTTAAGGGCATGATAAGATGCTAACTTTTAATGAAACTAATTGTTAAAAAGGGTATATATGTGTGTAAAGAGGATGTACAAATATGCAAACTGTTTATCAATATTGCTGATACATTTCAAATGATTCTCAAATGCATTCATTTTGTTTCTTTTTCTTCACTGAAACTAGGTTTAAGCTGAATATCTGGGATGTGGGTGGTCAAAAGTCCTTGAGATCTTACTGGAGGAATTATTTTGAGAGTACAGATGGACTGGTGTGGGTAGTGGACAGCGCCGACAGATTGAGACTGGAGGACTGCAGGAAAGAGCTGAGTACTTTATTACTAGAGGAGGTGAGAGGACCAATATCTTTACTTGGACCTAATGTTACAGAGTTTAAAGAAATTAAATGGTCAGATTTTGACATTTGTTTACTCTGCATTTTTATTGAACAAATGACAATAGGCCAGTTTTGAATCAAGCATGTGATGTTGAATAAAATGTTTATTACACTGATTAATGCATTTCTCTCAAATAGCGATTAGCAGGAGCCACTCTGTTAGTTTTTGCTAACAAACAGGACCTACCAGGTGCTTTATCAAAAGATGGAATCAGAGAGGTGAGTTAAACAGGGACATTTGTATTTTAATGAAACTGCCTTGCATTTGCAGGAATCTGTGAATATGCTAGTTTTCTGAATTGTGCCCAGGTTTTAGCGCTTGATGACATTAAGACCCATCACTGGTGCATTGTGGGATGCAGTGCTGTGACGGGTGAGAACCTGCTAACGGGTGTGGACTGGCTACTCGATGATATAGCCGCTCGGATCTTCACAGCTGACTGATGGACTGAATGTTTTAGCACATTGGCGATAGACTAAATAAATTCTTGTACTGCAAATGTATTTCATGTTTGAGGATGTCAAAATGGCTGTAAAGCTAAGATACAAATCACACTTACCAAGAATACACTTATTTCTGCCTTGACAAATCTGGTCTCTGGTCATTTAATTAATGCAGTCTTTTTCCTTGTTTAAGAGGACTTACAGGTCAGCCTTCCCTTTTTGATTGAAATTTGAGAGTGGTTGCATCTCAACTGGACCCCTTTCATTTATTTTTTTTTTGCCCTTTGAGGGGTATTTTTGGACCTCAGTTTGTGCTTTAGTTCAAATCTTACCTTAACACATGACCTAACATTGAACACTACTTCCATATTAAATGCTGTGAACATTGACTACCAATAGTCAAGTTACAGAAATGAATTCTAATAGGAGCAAGCATTGCACACCTAAATGCCATTTGTTAGATCATGATGCCTAAAGCATTACAAGCTGAATTTTAGTGCAAAGTGTCACATTCCCATTTAGAGTGCAAGTTGCCTGATACAAACATGAATGCAAAAGGTGAAGACTCTGGGACACAACTGGATTTGAAACTGCAAATTCAGTAAAGCCATTTATTTTGCAAGCATCTTATGAATAAATAAAATTTAAAAAAAACCAATCCATTTATATTGTTAACACCATGCAGTCAACACTTCAGTTCAGCGGATGCACAGTACAATCAGGGTGTTGCCAGTTCAACTTCTCAGATGCAGCTTACGTGACCTAAGGGAGGGGGGAGAGATAAAGTCTGTAAAACTCTTAAAATCAGTACCTTTAAAAAAAATAAATAAACTACATCAGATTTATCATCAATCAGTAATAACATCAGACTGGGGCGATAAGTGTCATCATTAAAGTAATACTAATAAACCAACAAAAGCCGATACAAAATACAAACCTTTAAAAAAAGGGTCAACAAAACACTAGCAATCAAGTGACATTGGAGCAATCTGGATGGACCATAGCAACAACTATAGCGAGAGAAAATAAAAAAAACATGGATATCAATAAGTCCCGACTTTTCAGCTTGGGGCAGTAATCACAACCATACTTTTATCAAATAAACTACTGGGGTCAGAGGGTACCATTCAGTCAGATAAATCAGACTGGGGCGGTAACTCAGTCATCACACCCACCCTATGTAACTCGTTGAAAATACAAAATACATACTAGCTTCAGTACTCGAGGGGGGAAGAACTTAAGAATCCACTGCAGTCCTGCAAGCAATAGAGAAAAAAATAAATTAGGGAATGTATGAAAAAAAACTAGTCTACACTTAAGCTAGTCCTTCTCAGACTGTTGGTAAGCCCAACAAGTCATCCCCTTGTTACCCAGGCAACACCAGTGGGTTCACCTTTTCAGGTTCTGGTATTGACAGGGCATAAGACATGTGCAAGTTACATCATAAAAGGACCAGCTGCAATAGGTTTGTCATTTTGTATATTAGGAACAGAATTCTCACCGGTTAAGTTTCATATCAGATGTGCCACCTATAGGTTAAGAAAAAAATGGGAGAGCTACACAAATGCGGAGATAAACAGATATAGATGCCTAATCTGTAACATTAAATTTATCAGCAGGACTTCAGACGAACCAGACTGCAAAAATCATCATGCATTACAGATGGAATAGAGCACTGAGTGGTGCAAGTTAACAAAAGGGACCATTTCAATGGAAAATCATAGGAAATGCATATTCTTACCTGCCGAGTGTACTTCAGGTAAGCAACCTTTTAGGAGAGAAAACCAATCTGGGTGTCATTTCAGTTACAGAAAGCATTCCAAATGTAGGTGAATCATGTGCTGTAACTTCAGTAATAAAGATTTATCAACAGGATTTCAGACGAACGAGATTCCAAAAGAATCATCATCAGTTACAGCGGGATTGAGTGCATTACAGATGGAAGTGAACATTTCAATGGAATTGGTCATGGTAAATGCATATTCTTACCTGCCGAGTGTACTTCAGGTAAGCAACCTTTTAGGAGAGAAAACCAATCTGGGTGTCATTTCAGTTACAGAAAGCATTCCAAATGTAGGTGAATCATGTGCTGTAACTTCAGTAATAAAGATTTATCAACAGGATTTCAGACGAACGAGATTCCAAAAGATAATCATCATCAGTTTCAGAGGGTTAATAATCAGCACATGGGAGCAAGTAACCTTACCTAGTACCACCAAAGGACTTGGCACACTTAGTTTTGGACAAATAACAGTCCTGTCAAGAAAATAAGAGGAACGATGTCTGACACGGGCATATGTAAAATCAGAATTATAACCATCCAATAAATCTCTCAGATGTTCGGGACTTTTCACATTGGGTCAAAGTGAGCTAAGTATCTTCATCACAGAGACAGAGCAAAACAGCATTTGTCATTGTTCCAACACTACCTTTATATAAAAAAAATAAAAATTCAAAATTAAATTTAAACTACAGAGAAATAAGACCATCAGGTTTATCACGGTCTGATCAGGGCTCTGGTAACTAACGTCATGGGATAATAATGCGGTTCAGATATTAACAGTATAAACCATTCAAAGAACAAAAAAAAACCCACACCTCACTTGAACATTATGGCCACACCATGACCACCACAGATAGAGTAGGGTGATCTAGAAAAAAAAAAAACGAGCATAAGCACAAAAAGCAGCCAACAGTTCAAAAACAAGCATATACAGTCAGATCATACTTTGGTGACTAGAATGCCATATGACAAATGTCGTCCAGTTAAGATATTAAAGTGTAATCATTTCTGGCAAGTTGAGAATTAAACAAATTGTGAATATAAAAATTACGCTTACCAATACATCTATGGTCACCATGCCCTCCCAAGTTCATGTGAATAAGCCCTTAAAGTAGAACAAAACAATTAAATACCACAAGGAGGTGACTGGACTGGACTCATCATCTGGACTATGTCAGAAAAAAAAAGGCAAACATCACTGGAATTCAGACATATGCTTGTCTTTGAAATCATCATCTAAATGTTCAGTCTAAAAGGGAGAACCTCAACACTTGAAGAGCTTACCTTGAAGTTAAAAGATTTCCGTCTACTCATCCCAGCATCCTGCATGGAAACTGCAAAACAAACATTTTATAAGTGCCTGCATTCACAAACATGACTAGAACTAGAAAGAAATGCTTGGCAGTGTGCTAGATGTCCAATGCTACTCAGTTTAGAACCGTTACATCAAAGCAATTCAGGAAGAGAGAATTCTAAAGTAGTCGCAGTAGCACTGGATGACTATTCTCACACATGCTGCTGTTACTTCTTGGGTGTGGTAGACCATAATTCAGGCCTAAACCATAGGTGGAAGATTAGGAATGTGCGATAAGGATTTTTGATCATGGATTAAAAGGTCACCACAACCTGCTTTTGAAGAAATATCGTATTATCCTGCTACAGCGCACAGTCCATCAGTTGCAGTTCTGGCGTCGCCGTCTCAACATACTGTACAACACAGCACGGTCACATGTAAATCTACCGCAGAGTTAACATTTCATTACAGTTGCTGATCCCCATTGACTTTGATAGTATCCCTATGTTAATACAAAAGTTAAAGAAAAAACAAATATAGTTGCTTTAATAAGAATTAACGCATTTATAGTGAAGCGTTTATTGTATTTTTATATTTGTTCATTCAGTTTCTTGACTGCTATTGCTAAATACACCTACTGAACCTGAAAAATAAAGCACTGCTCGTTTTACTTGTAGAGTTGTAATATGCATCCGTTTTGATTTTATAACATTCAAATAAAGATTTTTATCATTGCCCACTTTGGCCTAAATTTCTGACATTTTTAAAATATTTTGTCAGCTCGTAAGACATAGGGGAAATAGGGAAATTAGTGTGGCTGTAACACGCCGAAAACATGCAAAAATGGTGATAAATCGAAGAATAGTGATAAATCATGATTTTCCTGAAAAAACACGCGATATACACGCATGCATATATACACACACTAGCACAATACATGTCCTACATTTTTGGTGACTCAATATAATGTCAATTATATTTACATAAAAATTAATGTCCTCATGTTTTCTGCATTCCACTTGCGCCGGTCTTTTGCAGCTCCTCGCAGTGTAGTCGGTGCTAGTACAAATTTAAAAAAAAAAGCTACCACGAAAGAGTTTAAGAATCTGTGCCTTTGTGCATACGGACATCTGACTGTTGAGTAGTGATTGTTTTTTTTTTTAGCAAGTGTGCAGTGCACCCTTAATTTACAAAGAAGGTCAGGGTAAAAACTGTAGATGGAAAAATCTCCATACAAGTTAATTGCGAATTTCTCTTTTCTACTTGTTACTCTGCACTTGGTTAGCAAACGTTTATTCACAGTTTTACGCATCTACTATTTAGACTTAATTGCCATGATCTAAATATACTTAAGAATTAATTTTGTCGTCATTTGAAAGCGTGTATGCCTTACATTATTATGCGGTTATATTATTCAGTGGCATAAAATGGTCTTAATGACCAGTTTATTGCATTCATTTCTGGGGCAATATTTTTAAAAAATAATAATTATCTTGACCGGCCTAATATCAGTTACACAAGTGGCACAAACACAGCCAAGAAAGCAAATACAGCATTGCGCACTCATAAGGAGCCGTGCTTAAATGTAATAACTCTATTAGACATAACTGGCCAAAAGTAGTATGCTTCAGGAAAAGTACTAAGATGCACCCTACTACAGAACTCACCTTCCCATGAGGCCATGCTCGTCGTAGCCGCCATGGCTGCAAAAGAAAAACCTCTAGTTAAGACACGTGTTTGCATTTGAAGCTTCCAGAGCACTCTTAACGCAAAAGGAAAGAAATTCCCGTCAGTCTCTTCTCAGATAAATAAAGTGCAATCACAGGATTTCAGTACAGGTCTGTGAAAGTTATCATCATTGAGAGAACTCGGCAAAGCCTTAAAAAAAGCGTTTTACTAGGCATGAAAGTTCCAGGCAGGTGTGTCGAGGCAAGTTGGAGCTAAACTCTGCAAGACACCGGCCCTTCAGGACTGAGTTTGAACAGCCCTGCCTTAGGAGTTAAATATTGTAATTAGATACTGGGATGATACATGGAGCATTGAAGGTATCACAATTAAGTTTGGATTAATTCACAATTAAATTATTACCAAGCGGGAAAAAAACCCCGTTTTTTTAGACTGTCTTTTTTAAGGTGACAAATGCAAATATTTTGTATTAACTATGGCCTATATAGGCTATTAAACACCAATAGCTACTAAGCAAGCACAAATATGGGAACACATTTCATTTTTCTAATATTTACAAAATACCACTGACAAACGCTTAATTTGTATCTTTATCTACACGTTGTTATGTGAACTACCAGTCATTAACTACATAATCTAATCGTACGTCGTTGTAAGCAGTTTGTGTTTGATTCACTAAAAAGAACCGATTCATTAGAGTCATTCGTTCGGACTAAAGAGCACAACGCTGAACAAGTATTGCAGGCAGGGTATTTCAGTACGGAGGAGGAATTTCGGCGGAAGAATGAAGGTTGGAACCGCCAACGAAACCGAACGTCATTCTATTCCGGTTCCGGAATTTTTCAAAATGCATTAAACCAACACTAATTAGCAACTAAATCTTACCTTGCGATAATTCTTGAGAGTGTTTCTCTTTACAACTTCCAATGGCTCCCCATTCTGTTTGCCTTCTGGCTTCTTCACTTTTCTTTTGTCTTCCATTTCCCCTTCTCCTTCCTTTTTCCCTGAGATCAGAATTTGGTCGTCAGCATGCTCCCTCGCGGAGAAATGGACCAGTGTTGGTTCTGGTTCTCTGCTGTTTTCCAGGGTTTGGGTTGCTGGTGGCACCTCTGGGTTTAGATGTACAGAGGTGGGCTTGTTGGTCTCCTTACCCAGTTCATTCTCTGAGGAAAATTTGTCATATTTTGCCTTCCTGGAGCTCATCCTGCTCCAGCGGCGACTCAGTCTGCTGGGCTTTCTCTTCAGTAAAGTGGTCCCATCGTCATCCATCATACCCTGGTTAAAATCAACCACATGGTCATCCTCTTCTATCCAGCTTGGAGCTGTCCTATTATCTTGGCTGCTCCAGTTCAAGGTTTCTATCTGCTCTTCTGTGGTCTCTCTCTGTACATCGTCTCCACACATCTCATCCAAGCGCCCATAGAATCCACTAGCCTTGTCCAGAAAAGGAGGAGAACGAGGGGCCATGTTCTTTTTGGAGCTCCTGCCGATAGTCATGGTCTTGTGAACTCAGGAGAGATCTTAATCCAGTCTTTGCAATCTAAAGAGGGAAGAAGGAAACATGACTTTGACGTGTGCTGGTGCTCATCTGTTAAAAATGTTGAGAAAAGATCAGCCATATGTTTGTCATGAGAGACTATACAAAAAACAGTCCTTACACAATCAAAGAAAAGAAGAAGAGCAGCAGGCGTCCTCGGGGCTACTGTCGAAATTAAATCTACATGGTTCATCTTTCCCCTCCATCCCACATTAATGTGTGTTTATCAGGCATGGCATCATAGGCACACTGTTCAAAGTTCATTCTGTGTGTATACAGCTTATCAGTAAGTTCCTATTATAGGAACAGTGTGTCTTTATGACAAGATGAACTCCAGCCTGTCATTGACTTTGACTCCAGTTGGTCATGTTGGAATTGCAGCTGGTGCCACGACAGAAGACTGTGACTCAAAATCACTCATAAATATGTCATACAGTGCAGAGGTTTAAACAGCCATTATTGCACGTTTTTTATATTATTCGTATTAGGACGTTCATTAAGCTGGACTTTTCAAATATTTTACAAATAGCTGAACTCCAAATGAAATGGACCATGAAATTAAGAGCTATACTTATAAATATTTTATCACATAAACATTTTAGTGAAGCCCATAACTAACTTGCGTATACAGTATGGGAACTTAGTTTTTAAGATATTACGATACATGATATACTGAGAAAATATTTTAATTTAAAAAGGGGTCATATGATTCAAGGGGTCATAAGATTTAAATTTTTCCTTTCTCTTTGGAGTGTTACAAGCTCTTGGTGCATAAAGAAGATCTGTAAAGTTGCAAAGACTAAAGTCTCAAATCCAAAGAGATATTCCTTATAAAAGTTGAGTCAACCACGCCTACCTAAAATGCCTCGTTCTAACACGCCCCCACATACCTATGTCACTATGTGGGAAGATTTGCATAACGCCGCCCAAATGTGTATGCAAAGAAAGAAGGCGTGGTTTCGGGAACAGCAGTAGTGTTGAAGCAGCCATGTCAGGGAGACGCTGTGTTTCAGTGTGAAAGTAAAAGCACTTTATTTGGCCTTCCGGAAGTAGATGCAATTAGGAATCATTGGTTAAGATTTATTTACAACAGAACAGCACAACCCAGATGTTTGAATTTGTGCAATGCATTTTATAGACGACAGTTTTTTGAACCTAGAAGAGTACAAGGCTGGTTGTGCACAAAGGCTATTTCTAAAAATAAAAAAGGGGTAAATTCTGACATTGCTATGACAATCTGGCGCTTCTGAATCAGCGACTGTAAGTATGTTTTGTTATTAGTTTAAGTATTTGTTATTGACTGTTCAAATGTGGAGTTTTGCGCAGCACAGAGTACGCGTAGTGTGTGTGAGGGGAACGGGGTCACATCACAGGAGAGTGAACTGCCTGTCAGAAATCATAGCACGTCAGCTGTCTTAATACTGCATCTTGTGTACTGCATCATCACTGTGTCTGTCACGTGACTCTGTTGCCCTTTCGGGCTTGAACTGATGGTAAAACTAACGACATTATTAACTGTCTTGATATTTTCTTTGAAAGCTGAAGCTCGCGATTATGGTAAGGGGTGTTATATTTCCAACGCGTGCTTGTGGTGTTCGGCCAATCACAATGCACTGGGTCAGCTGGCCAATCAGAGCAGACTGCGCTTGTCAAAGGAGGGGGCTTTGTTGAAAACTACGTGTTTGAGAGAGGCGGGGCATAGAGGACCTACAATAATGTACAGTATTTGAAAAATGTGTTTTTTGAACATTGAAGCATTTCAACATTCTATTATACCAAATACACAAAATAATGATCTTTAAAATAGCATCATATGACCCCTTTAAATGCTCTGCTGTCGATTTCAACTCTTTGGAAATGTTAGGTCAGTATCAATGGTGTAGTTGTCTCATATTACAAGCTGTAGGGTTGGGAAGTGTTATAAAATTAAAAAAGAATTGACTAACTTCAGTGTTCAGAGTTAAGAGTATATATAATTTGGTGTTGTAAATGATCATTTACACATAAAAAAGCTATGTTTCCTATATTGCTATATAAATAAAGTCTTATTTTATGTGTAAACTATCATTTCAGAATCTCAAGTTTGCTTCATAATAAGCTTAAAAATATTCATACATTTAAAGAAAAAAGAACATACAGAGCAAAAATATAAATTACAGAAAAATTTATAAATAAACATAAATATAAGACATAAAAACAAAACAAAGAGCACTGGAGGCTGACTTACCTGCTGGTTGTTTTCGTGTGACTCTGCTCTTACTCGCTCTCGGTGTTCTGGGCCCAACTCACCTTACTCTGACACACACACAATCGTCACACTGTCTGAACCTGTCGTCGTTCAAGCACACTACCCCCCCCCCCCCCCCCCCCCCCCCTCTTGGTTTCTGTTTAATTTAATGAACTGAAGAAGAGAAGCAGCTTTAAAAAAAAAAATGCTAAATACTAAGTATCAGACAGCTCAGACCTACTCCACAAACAGTATCAAACTTTTACTGCACAAGTTGTAAAGTTGTTGTAAGTGTTGCTAAATGACTCACCTGAGCAGGACTCTTAAATGTGTTTTGGGTTATTCACTGGGTGGAAACATGATGCACTGCGAGGGATTCCATTTCCAAAAAGGAATACTGCTTCACATATTTCCCCTCCTCAAACTGATGTTGGAATACATAAAGAGGGTAAAATAGGGGTCTCAAAATACAAAAGTGACAGTGATGGAAAGAGTTGGAAGGAGAAAGATTGCAATAAACACCTGGAAACATTAGGTGTGGCCTTTAAGACTGTGTCTGCTACAGGGTAATACTTAAGAAAGTGCATGTAATTGTACGTCGGACTGATCTGTATTCGGTTCTCATGTGTTCTTTAAAATAGTTTAAACATCAGTAGTCATTTGTAGAATTGTCTAACCTTATTAAACAACTTTTAGATAAAAAAAAAAACGTCTAAAGAAGAGTTGAGGTCATTGCCCAGTGGTGACGGCCCTCCCCCAGGATAAACAGAAACAGCTGTTTCACAGCTGTGATTTCCTATAGGTGTGTGGTTAAGAGGACACATGATACTGCAGTACTATCGAGACATTATGAGGAGGGACTTTACTGTCTGATTGTTCATTCCTTGTGGTTTCTAGTGCTCACATGGCATCATTTTCATAGATGGTGAAAGATCAGCTTAGTAAAAAAGGATGAATTTGTCTGTTCAGGATGACTTCATATTAGAGCAGCATGCCATTCAGAAATACCTGAGAAAAATGAATTGAGTGCTTATTAAAATTCTGATTCAATGGCAGAATTCAAATTGAATTTTAACTGCCATAGCAAACAGAATGCAGAACTGAAAATAAAATTTTACAAATAAGAAAATAGACTTAATAGTTCAAACAAACTTTGAATGTTGGCTTGACAAAGCCTTGTTTGATAATTCTGAAAGATTTGAAGATTTGTCTATATGCCTTATGGATAGCTCGATAGATCCTCTTCCTGTCTTTCCAAATGAGTGAAACAGTGCCTGTCCACTATTTTAGCTGTATTTTTCCCATAGGGATTTTAAAAAGTAGTTTTTTGTTTTTTTAAAGAGTTATAAACCATGAACCAAACCAACCAGCTACGTGATGAATCGCAGCATTACAAACTTTTATCTGAAGCAAAAAGTATTGAAAATCATCCATAAAAAACAATGGCACAAAACTGAGTACTTGACAGCTTTAATACGAGAAAAATGGAGAAATATTTATGCTTCTGGCAGACGTTTTTATCCAAAGCAACTTATGTTGAATTCAAATCAATTCAATTTTAATCCTTGGCATTGCTAGCACCATGTTCTAAAGTTTGAACTACAGGAAGATGTTGGATATGAAGAAACAGTTTTTCAATTTATTATAAAAGGTACATTATATACACAAATATTTAAGTAGTTTGAAATCATAGGCAGACTGACTATTATGTAGGCAATATTAGCATGTTGCGATTCTCAGATTTCTTTGCAGAATCATGGGTAATGTAGTTTTTCACCAGTACCGTTGAACATGATTATTTAAAAAAAATAAGTAGAAATAATGCTGATGGCTTCAACAAAACCATATAAAAACTTCAAGATTAACAACCTCATCTGTATTTAATAGTTTACAAGTTATTGTTAAAAATCTAAATGCTCTGACTTTTGCACTTTACATAAACAACTTGTGAGTTGTGGCCACTTCACTTCACTTGAACTGGCACAGAGCCGACTCTTCCTGCTCGATATCTTTACATCCTTATGTTCTTAACATTTGGATTCAGTAAAACATGTAGATTTCTAAAGCAATAAAATAGAAAACTTTCCCAGCACATGGAATCTGACCAACTGTGATAAAACCGAACTTGTCCGCTACGTTCTTGTGCCATCTACATTTCTACATCACCGATTCTATACGTTTTCACCCTTTGCTTCAAAGGGTCAAGTAACATAATCTGTACTTTACACTCTGTCACCTGAAGCTTTACCAGTGCCACGTACACAACATGCCACTGGATTAAAGATAAGCACACCATTGTGATTCAACAAAGATTGTTAATGGCATAAATAGACACCATATCTGACCTATTTATATCCTCCATTTATCAGTGAAGAAAATGTCTTAAGACTTTAAGATATTATGTGAAGACATAAGACAAGTACACCAGACTGAAGGTAACAGAGACATGGACAGCATAGACATGAGTTATAAATATATTCCAAGCAAACCTCACACTATACAATTACGTTTCTAATCTATATATACATATAAATACATCTTACTGATTGATACCATATGTACAATTCTCTTTAAATACTGTTAAAGTGTACCAATGATAAGGATGGTTTATGGGATGCATGATGATTTATAGAAATCCATTTTCTTTTAGGCTGCCGGTTCCTTTGCTTCTGTCTCTTGCACTTTTTATCCCTGCATTCATCAGTTCCTTTCCTCATTCCTCATGTCTTTGGTGTGTGGCCCAGAAACCACACTTTCAGAGTGTCGTTTGTTTCACCTCTTGCCATATAAATGAGAGAATCGGTTTGGTCAGTGGAAGTGTGGATGTTTGGTGAAGTTCAGGCATGTTCTGAGGAGGTGGTGCTCACACCTCCACATCCGGATCTGAACCCAACCCTTGCTTCTGCAAAGCGTCTTCCCTCTTCATCTTTGGCTTCTCAGTTCGGGTGTGCCACACCAGCACCTGAGCAAGAGGAAAATCATTTCAATAGTAAATAAAGGAATAGATGACATTGTTTACTCATGTCATTGCAAAAAAGGTTAGGCAAAATTAAGAATTTAACAATTGGCTCCCTTTCAGTTCATGAAGTGGAATTTAAAATTAATTGTCCACACAGGAATTTGAAATGGAATTTACTGAATAACAATTCAGAGAAATAGGTCACGGCATTCAGAAATCGAATTGGAATTTAAAAAGCATTGTTAATTTATGTTAATGCACACAACCCTGCTTCCAGCAAAAGTGAATTTCCTCCTATCTGCCATAGCTCTCAAATGTCACATGACTGATCATGATGTGGTAAGCAGTGTTGTTAACTAAAACTGTTAAAAAAAAAAAAAGTTTGTTTATTGCAATAAAAAAACTAAATATTATATGAAAAATTTTCACTAAGTGAAAATCTGAAATGTTGCCATGTCAATTAACTGAAATAAGTTTAATTGAAATTACTAACTGAATTAAAACTAAAACGGAAATAATAAACTAAGACTGAAATAAAAATAAATGTAAACTTTTTATAAATATCTTTTTTTTAAATGGCAAACTGAACTTAAAATTAAAATATATAATTCTAAATTAACACTGGATATACACAACATGAACATACAAAAACAAACTTTCTCTGACATTCTTTTGCTTATATAACAGAAAATAATACGTGGTCAAAATAATATAACAACAATTTTTATATAATGACAGTTATGGAGAATTGTTCAATCTCAATCTCTGTTGAACAAAAGTATTTCTTGTTCCTGCATGACAACACAAACTAATGTATTTTTATAAGGCTTAATAAACTGACACCTCACAAAAATATGATGTTCAAGTAGGACTGGACAGTAATTCAATATCAATATGTATCGTGATATAATATTTTTCAATAACGGTGATATGATTTTTAAACACATTTCCGATATTTCGATATACATTACCAGTGTTTCCCATACATTGATTTATTTGTGGCGTTTGACTTCGTTGAATAAACATGAGCACTGCACGTTTCAAAATCAAAACGTGGCGCGGGTGTTTTATATGAATGTATCTCTGAAGGGAACCGACTGTCTTCAGAATAGTTTAGATGGCATTTTTATCTGATAAAGTAGCGTTCATGAGCGGAGCTGCTTTGATTACAGCCGTTACCGGAGAAACCGCTACTTCTACTGCTCTCACAGCGCCTCCTGCTGGCAGACAAGCCGTTTGCATTTTCAATAAGCCCGTCTCCAGCAACATGTTTTTGTTGTTGCTCTTTTTTTTCTGCAGGAAACTCGGAGCACTTTTCATATTCTTTATTCTGGCTGAAGCACATTTGTTTCAATCTATAACAATAATCAGCTGCCCTACATTACCAGTCAAAGGTTTTTGAACAGTAAGATTTTTAATGTTTTTTTTTTTTTTTTAAGAATGCTCACCAAGCCTGCATTTATTTGATCCAAAACGCACCAAAAGCAGTAACATTTAAAAGATTTCTATTTCAGATAAATGCTGTTCTTCTGAACTTTTTATCCATCAAAGAACCCTGAAAAAATTCTACTCAGCTGTTTTCAACATAAAAATAAATGTTTTTTGAGCAGCAAATCAGAATATTAGAATGATTTCTGAAGGATCATGTGACTGGAGTAATGATGCTAAAAATATAGCTTTGAAATCACAGGAATAAATTGCATTTTAAAATATTTCCAAATAGAAAAGAGTTATTTTAAATAGTAAAATTATTTCAAAATGTTACTGTTTTTGCTGTATTTTGGATCAAATAAATGCTGGCTTGGTGAGCAGAAGAGACTTCTTTAAAAACAAAAATCTTACTGTTCAAAAACTTTTGACTGGTATGTTAGAAGATATTAATAATTAATAAGGTGAGTCTGAGATGTTTATTTGACCGTGATTTCACATTTCTTTTTTGTATGAAGGCTAAATACAAATAAAAGGTGAACATTAATTTATTTGTGGTGTTTTTTTTAATTAAAGTATTATATGGTTTTATATGAGGTGTCATAGACTTGGCAAATTCATTTTTCATAAGTTTGTATGCACAGACATCTGTTGTGGGCGTTCTTGGCAGTTTTTACAAGGCTTTTTAAAATAGTGTTCATATCGATATCGGAATTGTATCGGCCGAAATTAAGAAATATATCGTGATATAACTTTTGGCCATATCGTCCAGCCCTATGTTCAAGGTCATGTTGAATTATCTTAATATGCAGAAAAGCTGGTTATTCACAAAACACTAGGAACAGAACAAAGGAGCTACCTTAGAGCACAGGTCTGCTTTGGGTTCAAGGTCGTCCATAGTAACCAGGTGCTGAAGGAAGCTACTTTCCAGGAAGCCCATCTGAGCATCACCGTCAAATCGTGCTTGGGGATTGGTCAGTATCAACCTCAGGGACACTGCAAAACCAGCCATGTCGATGGGGAACGGGCGGTTGGGATGCCAACCAGTGTGGAAACGCACAACCTTCCCATCCTCCACAACGGGCCGCTCAAACTTCATCCCGCCCACCAGACCCACAGGCCACACAGAGACACGGTATGTGTACCGTATCTGAGGGTGTAGGGAAGGAGAATGTGAATGGACAAAAAGTGCCAGATAAATGACACAGAAACCTATCAGGAGACCTTCTGTTCATATGTCCATAGACAAAGACTACGTACAGACTAAAACCGGTTTTGAGAAGGGTTAGTTTGATTACATCTCCAAAAGAGAACATCTGACACATCTGTTACACCTCAATACACCTGAAGCACAGCTCCACCTGGAGGTTTAACCAGTAAACCCCCATGGAATGACTCGAAATGATCTCATGTTCAGTTTTCACTGCAGTTCTCCAAAACAATGTGTGACAGTTTGCTACAAACTTTTACATCTGTGGAAGTTTAGCATTTAAATCTAGCAATAAAAATTTTATTAGTACCATTTTCTACATATTAGAAAAACAGAATTAGAAAAAAAAAGCACACTGAGGTATAGAAATTATGCAGTGATAAAACAATTTTAGTTAATTAAGTTAATTTAATTTTAAAAAATGTACATTGTAAAGGACATCATTTGTTTTTCACAGCTACAAACAGATTTTCTCACAAAACTAATTTTAGACATTAAAGCAAAACAGTTAAGCTTTTTGAGCCAGAAAATTATGTGAAACATGAATTCATTCAACGGTGTCCAAACATTTGACTCATACATAAGCATTGAAAGGTTTGGGTTCAGTAAGATTTTTTTTTAAATAAATTAATACTTTTATTCAGCAAGGATGCATCAGATAAATAAAAAGTGACAGTAAAGATCTTTATAATGTTACAAAAGTTTAATATTTCAAATAAAGGCTGTTCTTTTGAACTTTATATACAGCAAAGAATCCTGAAAAATGGTTTACACAAAAATACCTGACAGCACAACTGTTTTCAAAATGTATAATAATAAGAAATCAGTATATTAGAATGATTCCTGAAGGATCATGTGACACTGAAGACTTGAATAATGGGTGCTGAAAACATCAAAGGAATAAATTACATTTTAAAACATATTCACAATTTCACGACCAATAAAATAATATTTCACAATATTTGTTTCTTTTTCTGGACACAGCTCTATTCACACGCTGTTTGGTATTGGGGCATTTTTACGAGTACAAGTACAGGAGCGCAGTATCGTGTCCCGATACCAGTATCGGTGCATCCCTATTTTGAATGGTAGAGTATATTTAACCACTAAAAACACCTTACCTCTTCAAAAAGCTGCAGGCTATATGTATTGTCATCATCAGCAAAGTACACCACAGCCTCCTCGAGGGCAGCCGCTTCCTTTCCCTCAGCAGCAGCGCCCATCTCCCTGAGCCAGTGCAGACCCTCGTTCCTCTGCTCAGCCCCCCGGGGCTTCAGCCAGCTGGGATCACCCTCCTGCAGCTTCCTATCTTTGGGGGTAAGCTTGTGTAGATGGGCGTAGGTCAAGCCAGATGCAGCCAGGAAATCTGTGACGAGTGGAGTTGGCTGAGGAGCGTCCTCCACCACGATCCAGTGCAGCTGAGGAACATGGAGGAAGGTGTGAGACAAACGAGTGAGCTCAGCCTTCTGCACCAGTCTGGAGAGAGGAGGAAGAGGGAGATTAAATTTCATACAGTTTGGGGTGACTATTTTTTATTCTTATCTCCATAACGAGGCTGAATGTTTGCATGTTTTGGGGATATTTTAATGTCTACAGGTCCATTCACACAGAACACATTTTGTTTTGCACAATAAAGCAATGAGATGCAGGGCAGTGGAACAGAAAAGCACAAGGCTTAGAGATGCTTTTTTTTTAAGATTAACTTCTTTTTACTTGAGCTCCACCTTCTATAGAACAGCATGTCATGTGCAAGACACTGCAAAAGACACAAGACTCAAAGTCTGTCTAATACATGTTTGCATTAAAAAAAACTATGGAAAAGCTGTGGAGCCCAGCACATGACATGCAGACAAAACATATTTATATAAACACATATAATGAAAAATTTGTTCCCACATTGAATTGTGGCCACGCACCTCTCAAACATGTTTGTTTAGCACATGCTTACAACAATGCAGAAGCAGCACAGTGAAATGCAAAAATGTGTTCTGTGTGAACGGCCACCATTCAAAATGTATCTATAATCAGTATTTGCATACAGCATAACAATTGCTCTTTGCTTTGTTACATTTATAAACACACACCTGCACACTAAAGAGCCATGAGCAGATAGATCATATTAATGAGAAAATCTGACACATTTCCATAATTTACTTCTTTTGAACAGAATGGCGCAAAGAATCAGTTCAAAATGATTCAATGATTCTTTAATGTCATGGCGTAATTACATCATCACATAATTCCTGACATCAGATTGCTATTTATTTATTTTATTATGTTTTATTAATAATGGTATCTGTATTTCCTTTGTCCTAGTTCAGTTTGTTGCAGCCACCACTGAGCTAAAATATTTCGGAATATAAAGTCGTTTTAAAGTAAAGCAATTTATAACTAGGCTTAATTAAACTTTACATCTCTTGCCTGAAGAGGGTTTTGCATGCTAAACTAATTGAACATATTCAACGAACTGAATATGTCTGAAATAGACGGTTCTTAGATTAATGAGTCAATGAGTTATTAAAGGGATCATATGATGTTGCTAAAAAGAACATTATTGTGTGTATTTGGTGTAATGAAATGTTTATGCGGTTTAAAAAAAAACACATTATTTTCCACATACTGTACATTGTTTCTCCTCTATGCCCCGTCTTTTTTTTTTTTTTTAAATCAACACTGATGGAGGACGAGGAAACCGCGGATCATGGACACAACCCAAGTGAATGCATCATGACAACAGCTTGGTTTGGAAAAATAAGAGATGATTTTGCAGATTCCCAAGTACAGCCAGAGCATCCAGTGGCAATTAGATCAGATATCTTGATTTTAATTGGTTCAGTTGCAGTATATATATATGAATGTCCGGTTACAACAGAGTTTAACTAATGCATTTTAATATATTACACGCAATGATGTGTATACATTTAAAGTTGAGGTGAATAAATCCTTTCCGGTCGCTTCATAGAGTATTGCAGATAACGCTATGCGTCTCTGTGCAAACTAGTGAAGCGCACTATGTACAGCCACCCCATTCATCCACTGCGCACTACCAACAACTTCCGCGTTCAGTGTGTAACAGTCAATGATCTCCCGAAGCATGGAAATAAACCATAGTTCCGCCTTCTAACTTTTGGATCACGAAGACATTTTAACCCTTTAACCGTCACTACAAGAATCCGAATCAGAATCAGAAGAGCTTTATTACCAAGTATGTTTACACACACAAGGAATTTGACTTGACGACAGGAGCTTCCAGTGCAGAAGAAAGTACAAACATAGCGCAGACATACATGATAGTGCAGACATGCATAGGAATACCACAGTAGGGATGTAATATAACACTAATATAATATTAAAATAATAATAATAATGTACTATATACAGAAATAGAAGTATAGGAAAAAAATGAATTGTTTAGATTCATGTACAGATATGTTTATAAGTGTGCAGATCGATATGTTATTTACAAAGTGTGCAGTTTAATATAAATATAACTATGTTAGTTGTGATGGACGATGTATAATTATGAAAGATTAATTGTTCAGGCTGAATATAGCCTTTGGGAAAAAACTGTTCTTGTGCCTGGCTGTTCTGGTGGTCAGTGCTCTGTAGCGCCGACCAGAAGGCAACAGCTCGAAGAGAGAGTGGGCTGGGTGTGAGGGGTCCAAGGTGATTTTTTTAGCCCTTTTCCTCACTCTGGAGATGTAAAGATCTTGGAGGTTGGGCAGAGGGGCACCAATAATCCTCTCAGCAGTCCTGGCTGTCTGTTGTACTCTCTTGATGTCTGATTTTGTAGCTGAACCTTTAGCAAGGATGCATTAAACTGACAAAAAAAGAGAGTGAACTTTTTTGTTACAAAATAAACTAATAAAATAAAAAATAATCAATCAATAAATACATACAAGCATACATACAAACATAGATAAACACTGTTCGTTTAAACTTAAAATATATTAAAACAAAGCCGTTATTTTGAATTGTTATAATATTTCACATTATTCCTGTTTAACTGTATTTATAATACAAATGCAGCCTTGGTGAGCTTATGAGACTTTCAAAAAAATAAAAAATAAATAAATTCTTACCAACCTTACTTCATAATTGTAGTATATATTTCAAAAAATAAATAAAAAATGTATTTTAGGTTTTGTAAAATGAGAAATAGTGCAGCTGATATCCCTTAAATCTAACTACTGCTTAAAATAAAAGGCATCCTCGTAATACTGATGTTTCACTTCTGTCACTTCAGTGTGTAGTTCAAAGGACTCAAACAAAGAAGCCTTTCTTAAAAAGACTGAGGGTGGGCGATTTGACTTTTTTGTGTGCTTTTTATCTACCAGTTGTTGGAAAAGTTAAACTGCTAAGAATTTTTTATTAAAGATTAATTTGAAACAATGTTAATTTGGCAAAAATGCTACAAAGGAATAAATTCTTGGAATGCTGGGTTTGTTGTGGTACCTGTTGGCGATAAGCTGAAGGATTTGGATGAGAAATTTCCCCAGGCCTTTCCGTCTGACTTTACTCTCCAGCTGAACTTCATAACTGAGGAGACATTATTAGAATCAGTCAGATACAAACAGCAATATCAATAACACATGATGCCTTCCCACATACACAATGCATGCAATGAAGGAAGATAGACAGACATGCACAATATCACAATTCTGGCAAATTGTTTTCACATCAAGGACAATAAATGATCAATTCTATACAATACTACCTAAATTGTAAAAACCCTGAAAACATCATTTTTAATCTTAAGGTGTTACAACAATACACATTATGAAAAATGCATATTCATTTTGAAAAGTTATAAAATTGTTTTTATAGACTAAATGTGTTAAAAAAAATTGGCGAAATGAACATGAAGAATTGAATGTCCAATATAAATTAATTTTTAAAAAAAATTATAATATCAGTCAGTAACCAATATGGTACTGAAACAGTGTGCATTCCTGACAAATAAATTGATTTTTAATAATCCCCAAAGAGAAATTCATAGCTGTCCTATGTGTTAAGTTATAATTAAAGCAGCTTATAAAATATACCATTTACCAATATAAAACCTCATCTCCACACTCCACATCAAATCGAAAGTGGGAAAATGCTACAGGTGTGGAGCCAGCATCACGGGCCAGGAGATACCATGCTCTCTCATCCTTCATCTCCTCCCTTTTCTCTCTCTCCTTCCATCCCCACTCACTCTGTTCATATCTGCCAAAACATAACAAAAAATGTACTTTGTTATAAACTGCACAAATGGAAAGTGCAGAAAGTTTTCAGACAGTTCTCATGGAACTATATTTCTTAAAGAGTAAAATGACCAGCTGTACAAAAGTCCTTTAGATTTAAAGGGACAGTTGACCCAAAATGACAATTCTGTCATCATTTATTTGAAAAGAATGGAATGACATGAGGGTGAGCAAATTATGACAATTTTCATTTTTAGGTGAACTATCCCTTTAATGTTAAGTAACACTAACTGACTTCCATTCAACCCAAAACCTGTATCTGAATGTCCATTGAATACAAAAGCTAACATGTATCCATTAAATTTTTCGGCAGGAAAAATTAAGATGCCACTAAAACACCAAACATTGACAAATAAAGTATAATAAATGTTTAAGGCAGTAACAATATGGGATGTTGGATTACCCCACATGTTGACTTGCTCAATACCTACAGCGTCTGCATGTTGGCTCTAGTCAACTCATAGGCCCACTCCACTGTATCTGGACTCAAAGCAGTTACCCGTTTACATTCAATCTCCAGGTTTATCCTTGTGACAGATTCAGACATGCACAATATTAGTATTGGATATTTAAAAAAAACAAAAATGAAATGATCTGCCCACCAGTTTACTAGCAGCATATGTCATCCATCAAAGGGGAAACGTAAGGATAGCGTACCCATTTCTGTCATACTTTTTGAACACTGGCAAGGCAGACAGAGGATCTTCAAGCTGTAAAAAGACACGGGACACATTGTGTTAATATTTTTCTACTGCAAGAACAAAGTTTATTTCAGATGTTCTCAATAAAGCATACCTTATTGGCTGCATCCACCTTAGCACACACCGCATCCATAGCTGCCCGTTCTTCGAGTCTTCGCTGCTTTTTCTCCTTTGCTCTGTTTGATTTTCTCTGAATGGTAATCGAAAGACATTGTCAAATACTATTCCCAGATACAGACTGAAGAAAATGGTCTGAAACATGTATACTTTATATTACAACTTTAAGTCCTACTCTGGGAAAGAGAGCAGAGTGGTCGGTATAATATGAATATACATACCGTGTATTCTAAAATGAACTGAATCAAGTGAATTGAACCAACGCTGAACTACACTGAGCTGAAAAACGACACTACTGTCTTCTGTAGAGTTGCTTTGAAGATGAAATGGAAGTTATTTCATAACTGATGACTTTTACAACATTGAACATATTTTTTTGTTTATTACAGCAAAGCTGATTTGAACATCTGTAATACATAAAAAACTGATATATTGAGAACCTGGGTTATCCTCCTTTTATCCTGACGTTTTAAGATTTTGAAAAACTACAGTGTTATGACAAAAAATGAAGAGGAAATGGGTCATTAATCACACAAACACAAAATGATCGGGAACATCTCAAATCAACTTCAAATCAGAAATGTAACTTGTCACTCTAATTAGTAAGCTGACAATATAATTTTAAAAAAATTGTTTAAATTAAAAGAATGTCAAATAAAAGCATTTTCACTAGTATGGACCACATAGTAAAAAGCAGTAATTGAATCAAATCAAATCAAATTAGACATAGCACACAAAATTATGGAATTAAACACTTGTTTTACTATATTATTTAACAGTGAATATTTACTAAATATTACCAAATATTGTCCAACTAATCATCCCGGTCAATATATACACATCCATTACAAGCAAACAATAATGTTGCCTTCAAAACATTTCACAAACAGATTTATGACTGCATTAGCTTGTGTACATACATGTGACTGCATGGGGTAGTGACACATCTGTGGACACTTTAAGAAAAGGTATTTATGTAAATCTGAGAGATTAAACCCTGTTTTTTTGTTAGATTTGTATTGCGTATCATGAATAATAATACACCAGGAGCAAATATCTAGCTGAAGGCACCCAAAAAAAACAAAGCTGCTCTTTAGCTCCAGGTACATTAATGGCAAGAGAAGCAGGAAACAGGTGCTGAGAACACAAAGCACGTGGAGCAGGACAGTTTTCTAAGGGCTTGACGGCGGCGGGCTCTGCATGTGCATGAAGTTCACTAATGCCAGACACAGCTAGATCAATCAAACTCGACGGACTAAGCAATGCTGCTGTCGTGAGGTTTGATCTCGCGGTGGCTGCTGGCATCGTGCCAATTAAAAGCCTGTAAGAGGAGCTCAAATAAACGGTTTGCACATTATAACGTTAACGTTACTCCTATCCGACCAGCTCGTCGTATGACTTTAATGCATGGACGGTTGGAAACGGACAATACAGGCAGTTTGACGGAAACGGCAACAGTTTGCCGTGTTAAATGTATAAGTGTTATTGTGCTTAGTGTTAAAGAAATGGCGCAGTCGACGAGGCACCTGAAATGAACCAGGAACCGTTTGAGGTGGACATTTGTGTACTCAGATGGACACTAAAAGAATCCATTCGGGACCTGAGCATCTTTAAACCACCAAATTCTCACCACCACCCCCTTTCGTTATTCACGAGTTCCGCGTTTACCTCCATCTCTCTCACACACACACACACACACTCTCTCTCTCTCTTTCCGGGGAGAATGATTTGCTTCCACCAGTCTTTGTTTAAATTGCCGCACGCATTTATCAAAGCCCAAATAAGAGCAAAACTAACAACATACAGCATGGACAGACAAACTCACCCCCATTGTGCAGATTTTATACGACCACCTTGACGCGACTACTGCACTCTAAAATGCTTTAAAGAAGTTAGAGATCTGAAGATGAGATGTGGTCTGTGGTAAAGAATGTTAAAATGCTAACGAGCGAGCTAGTCTGCAGTAACACAAGAGCTCGAGGGTTCGTAGCTTCAAAAACAAGCATCTATGAAGCAACTAGCGACTGCTGTTCGCTCTTATTTTTCCCAGCCAGATTCGCGCTCTACTCTCCCCTTCTTTATCTCCTTCTCCTTTCTTTCTTTCTTTCTTTCCTCCCTCCCTCTCTCTCTCTCTCTCTCTCTCTTCACTCTTTCTTTCCCTCTCAGCAGCATTGGGCATTAGCCGCTGAGTCTCGGGGAAATGACGACATAGGGTTGGGGTTAAAGGTCAAGCTCTCTCCACATGCTTCCTCGCGTCGAGGGTACTTTGAGACCTGGAGCCATTAAGATACATTTATGTAAATGACAAGTAATTGATACTAAATGCAGTTTTCTTTGAGTTTCTGGTTTCCTTTTGCAACCTGAATTTCTAACATTATTTCGAAAATTGGAGGATAAAGGATACTGTCAAAAATAAAGTTGAATTACTTAATTAAAATACGATGTAATCAAAAGTGTAATTTTAATTTAAGTTTAATACAGTGAATACATATTACATGAAAAAGTTGTGTGTGTATTTTAAAAAAAATAATATTTTGCTTTATTTTCTATCACACCAGGAAGAATAAGATGTAGATCTTCAAAAAGGACAGTGCATGTCTGCACTGTCTTGAGCTGTATGTTAGCTAGTGAATACCCTCCAAGTATAATTTTTCCAATAAAGTTATTTTTTTTCATTTTGCGATTAAAAAAAATAAATCCAAGCCATCTTACGAACATATAAAAGAAAACTATGAATCCTTGTTTGTGATGTTTTATTGTGTTAGTGTTAGTTGCTTCTTTGTGTGTATTATGTGCAAAGGACAGTATAACAATGCAGCATGAAATGAAACATAGGGTTAAGTGTGATGAGTTTTTTGAGGCATTTGTGAAATGAATGCATTTCTGAATTTCTATTAACTGTTTAGTGTTTATTGGCTGTTTTTTTATGGGTAGAGTTTTTACAGCATTAACCCTGAGGAGACAACTATACACTGTGATTTAATATATAGTTATGCATAATTTATTCTTAATTGTAACAAATGGAATCGTAAAGAACAAATAGAATGGTAAAAAAAAGGAATACAGATGTTCATATTAATAACTACAACTCCAAATTATGTGCACAATTTTCCCTAGGTACAAATTGAGCCCATCAGGAATATGACTAAATGCTTTGTATCATATTTTTTATGTAAATATTGAATGAATTCAATCCTCTTTAAATTAATTTGAATGGAGATTTCTCTTTAGGTGAATGAGCACTTGTAAATGATCGAGGGAATGAAATATTATCTGAGGCCTAGAATGGCCCTGTCCTGCAGTACCTCTCTTGTTCACGAGGGAGCACTAGTTGACAATACAAAAGTTGCTACTGTGTAGGAACAGCTACTGTATGTCACCACAGTGGAGAGTGGTCGAGTGGCTTGAACTGCATCGAGTGCGCATCTAAATGCCAGTGGTACTTAATTGCAGTACGTCGAAGGTTGAACCTCACATCTAGGATGGTTTTGAGAGAATCCCTTCTGACCCTTATAAAGAAGGCACAGCCATAACTTAAAGGGTCTATCCATGTGTTGAATGCAACGAACGCGGCATATTCTTGACCACGCCCCTCCCGCAGATGTCACCACACGAAGCCCCGCCCCAAACCTTTTGTATCCCGCGACGGGGAGAGATGGCATTTTCAGAAGGGGAAACAAGGGAGGGGGGGTCAGAGAGTTCACCGCTGTTAAAATCTCCGCTTCCGCTTCATACTGAACCGCGATACATGTTCTTTAACTATGACGGAGTGAGTATAACTGTTACAGTGTTTATAAATAAACAAAACCCGACCTAAAAGGCCATGCAAATCTAGCACGAGAACAATAGGTTGTGCCATCCATGTTAGTGCTGAGAGTCCGTGGAAAACACAGGGAACGAGCCCAACCTCACCTTCAGGCCTGTGGTTGCGAGCAGAAATGATTAGTACTGGAAATCTCTTTCTCTGCCTAGTGTGCATGTGCGGGTGGTGGTGGTGGGGGTGCAAGAAGAGGAGGAATAGAGAGAGGGGGAGGGTAGCAGAGAGGAACTCAGAGGTGATGAGGATGGAGGAAGTCTAACAGAGAGGAAGAGGAGGGAAAGAGAGAGAGAGAGAGCGAAACAAGAAAGGAGAGACCATCATAAAGGGACAACTAAGGTGAGTTAGAGAAAATGGAGATGGTTCTTTTGCACAGTAACGTTACTGGCAAAATGGCATGAAGGAGGGGAGGGAGGATATGGTTGGAGAGAGAAGCACATAGACAGAGAGGGGATGGCTGGGAGGGGTCTTGTGCCACAAGTGCTGGTAACGTTATGTCTGTCTCTGTTCTTGTCTGCAAGGACCACAGAGAAAGAATATCAATGTATACGGGTGTTCAAGGGAGGACCTGTCCATCACTTGGGCCTGCTGGTACATAGTGTCAGGAGGGGGTGTTGGAGACCAGCCTGAATCCAGTCTTTAATCCTTTTATGTCGTATTAGAATTGTGTCTAGATATCAAGTTTATTCTCACCTGCAATACCTCCAGGTTATGTTTAATTAATGTAGACTAGAAACCATGGCTTACACAGTGTGAATGTATTGATTTCTTAAAGACTCTATCACAGCGTGGTAAAAGAACTATAGCTGAAGCCTAATTCACGATATCCATCATAAAATGCTCATTATTGAGGTAAACAAGCAAGTTCCAGTCTTTTTTCTTTCCTGCATACATAAGTGAAGGGTCTGGGCAGCCTCAGCACTGCATTGCATAGCTGACAAATCCATCCGCACACACAGCAGGAAGTAGTTCCGTATGATTTAATGTGGGAGCACCGCAGGTAAAGCACAAAGTAATGGATCGGTATTAAGTTCGTTTTACGAGGAGAGTTGTACGGGATGCTCTAAATACGTATAAATATCTGTTTAAATCTAAATATAGGCTAAATTAACGCATGGATAACGGCTTTTAGGACGGGAGGGGTTCATTTAACGTTTTTGTTTATAATATTGCCCATATGTGAACTGTGAGAGCTAGCTTGACTCACATGAGACGAGACTTTACAATGTCAGAATCACTTGTTATGAATTTGATGCCGGTTAAAGGGACTATGTAATTGACATGGAAGTTAGTTGGGGAGAGGCGAACAGCGCGGAAGGTTTTCTCGGTTGCGAGGAGTTCTCAGGTCTCCCCGGCACACACACACGGATAGGATCCCTAGTATGCGGCCGATGCAATGAACTGGATAGAATGAGAAACGTGCGAATATCCACAGAAGCGTTAATGTAGTTGTATATTAACAAACGTGCGCAGTGCTGATGTTTTACAACACTTATCTGTCGCTTTATAAGTTTGAATAGGAGAGAAAGCAAGCCAGGTTAGTGAGCTGCTATTCGGACTGGTAACTAACGTTAAAAGGCAAATGTTCAGCGACAGCTAGCCAACAACTGGAATAGGGACATAAGCGTGGCTCTACACAAAAGGACCCAGACTTGAGTGAGCGACTGTGCGAAAAGTGAGGTGAGGGGAAAGATGCCTTTTTTCTGTTTCTCCACTTTTTAAGTTTGAATGATGAATTATGATTGCCCGAGCGAGATCCGTGCGCGTTTACTCGCAGAAATGTTTAAATGAACAAGGAACGGATGATTGGATGGTGGTCGGAGTGATGCGACCTCTCGGAGTTTAAGGGGGCAATCGATAACTGTTTTCCGCTGAAACACTATTAAGAGTTGATTGGGCACTCTGCTAAGCGAAGGACAGTTCAGTGCCACATATTGAGTGTTTTGGACGCATCTGAAGCGCACTGAGCCCGACTGCAACTTCAATCAACAGAGACACTGGTCGTGACGTCACGTGCCCTAGTCAACGCTTCGTTTTGTGACGCATAACGACTTTTAAAATTATTTTTACGTATAAAGAACACATATCTAATCTCATTTTAGATTTTGATGAAGCGTTATAAAAATAATCCATTATGCGGGATTAATTTTGTAACCAGTTTTATCTCGCAAATGCATCTTTTGTGTCCATACACCTAGATCAGAAACATTTTATTGTTATGTTTGTGTAGTTGTTTTGTATGTTCAAAATCACCATTCAGGCAGCCTCTCGAGTTATTATTCACGAAAATAGCGAGAGGTACAGTTTGGTGGTTGGCGATCACAATGGCAGTAGCTTAAGAAATGAAGGCTTTGGTCATTGTTTCGTTTTCTAAAGGATGGTATCTGTTGTTCTGGTTTGTGAAGTGATAAAAGTCAGCTCTGCTGTTCACTCCTTAGTTCTCGGGAAGCATTCGCGAAACAAAGACTTCTTGTCCACCGAATAAAAGTCTCATTTATTGGCGTTGAAAATGAAAGTTATCTAAATTCGTTACAAATGTAGAAACATTACACTAATGCGTATATCCCGGGCTTTGTGGTTTGATACCTCAGTGAACTCCATCACCTGCTGCTGAAAACTCAACCAAGAGCATTTAAACCTCCACAACGTCCACTGTCTCTTGTGCCGAACCTCATTTCCATACACGTATATTTCAACTAAATTGTATTAATTTGAGGTTAGTTCTCTCACCACATTTCATAACAGACTGCGGCTGTTCAGAGAAAGAAAAGATGTGTATATAATGTAAATAATGTTGCTTGAGGAAGTCGATAAAGATTCAGAAAACAAAGATTTGTCACTATACTGTAAATGTGAAAAGATACTTGAGGCATCATTTGGGGTTCTCCGACTGAACCCTTTAGAGAACCTCAAAAAATAATATGGGTCAATGAGTTAATTTGCATCATACACATAAGAATGTATTTTGAAAAATGTTCCTCTTGTGTCCATTCAATGAGTTATTGGGGCTCAGTGTTTGCGTTGGACCCCACTGGCTTTCATTGTATGGGCAAAAACAGTTGAAACATTCTCCAAAATATGTGTTGTATTCCACAGAAGAAAGATAAACAGATTTGGAATGACATGAGGGTGTGAGCCTGGGAGACTATTATTGGCGCTTTTCCACTGCATGGTACGGCACGGTACGGTTCACTTTTGGGGGGTTTTCCACTGGGTACAGTACCTGGTACCTGGTACTTTTTTAGTACGACTTCGGTTGGGGTTCCAAGTGAACCGTACCATTACCAAAATGTGACGTGTTAACTCTGCTGATCACGGATTGGCCAGAGAGAATCGTCACTACCTGCGTCACTGAACTTGTGACACAAACACAAGAGACACAAACACAAAAGAACCGCTAGATTTAAATCAGCACAGCCAGCAAAGGATCAAACTCA